TGTATGTATGTATGTATGTATGTATGTATGTATGTATGTATGTATGTATGTATGTATGTATGTATGTATGTATGTATGTATGTATGTATGTATGTATGTATGTATGTATGTATGTATGTATGTATGTATGTATGTATGTATGTATGTATGTATGTATGTATGTATGTATGTATGTATGTATGTATGTATGTATGTATGTATGTATGTATGTATGTATGTATGTATGTATGTATGTATGTATGTATGTATGTATGTATGTATGTATGTATGTATGTATGTATGTATGTATGTATGTATGTATGTATGTATGTATGTATGTATGTATGTATGTATGTATGTATGTATGTATGTATGTATGTATGTATGTATGTATGTATGTATGTATGTATGTATGTATGTATGTATGTATGTATGTATGTATGTATGTATGTATGTATGTATGTATGTATGTATGTATGTATGTATGTATGTATGTATGTATGTATGTATGTATGTATGTATGTATGTATGTATGTATGTATGTATGTATGTATGTATGTATGTATGTATGTATGTATGTATGTATGTATGTATGTATGTATGTATGTATGTATGTATGTATGTATGTATGTATGTATGTATGTATGTATGTATGTATGTATGTATGTATGTATGTATGTATGTATGTATGTATGTATGTATGTATGTATGTATGTATGTATGTATGTATGTATGTATGTATGTATGTATGTATGTATGTATGTATGTATGTATGTATGTATGTATGTATGTATGTATGTATGTATGTATGTATGTATGTATGTATGTATGTATGTATGTATGTATGTATGTATGTATGTATGTATGTATGTATGTATGTATGTATGTATGTATGTATGTATGTATGTATGTATGTATGTATGTATGTATGTATGTATGTATGTATGTATGTATGTATGTATGTATGTATGTATGTATGTATGTATGTATGTATGTATGTATGTATGTATGTATGTATGTATGTATGTATGTATGTATGTATGTATGTATGTATGTATGTATGTATGTATGTATGTATGTATGTATGTATGTATGTATGTATGTATGTATGTATGTATGTATGTATGTATGTATGTATGTATGTATGTATGTATGTATGTATGTATGTATGTATGTATGTATGTATGTATGTATGTATGTATGTATGTATGTATGTATGTATGTATGTATGTATGTATGTATGTATGTATGTATGTATGTATGTATGTATGTATGTATGTATGTATGTATGTATGTATGTATGTATGTATGTATGTATGTATGTATGTATGTATGTATGTATGTATGTATGTATGTATGTATGTATGTATGTATGTATGTATGTATGTATGTATGTATGTATGTATGTATGTATGTATGTATGTATGTATGTATGTATGTATGTATGTATGTATGTATGTATGTATGTATGTATGTGTATGTATGTATGTATGTATGTATGTATGTATGTATGTATGTATGTATGTATGTATGTATGTATGTATGTATGTATGTATGTATGTATGTATGTATGTATGTATGTATGTATGTATGTATGTATGTATGTATGTATGTATGTATGTCACTTACCTCAGGTAATCGACGACTTGTGTACAGTACGGTACCATCGAAGATGTATGCGCCAATACTCTTTGCATGTAATTTGAGTAAACCTTTACGCACAATTGTGCGATCCTCTTCGGGCGCGAAATCGACATGATACTGGTTAATGGCCCAGTCAGTCGATTTTAATAACTTGAAGTAGTTTGCTTGCAACGTTATCTTTTTGCCGGCTAGTCCTTGTGTTGAAATAAAAACAAAAAATAAATATAAGAGAAAAGAAAAAAAAAAGTAATTTTAAAACAAAACAAAATATAATAATATAAAAGTGTAATAAAATCATTTTTAATCATTATCGAGTACAGAATACTCGTCAAAAGAAACAATATGTAGGAATTTCAATATATAATAATATATGTATCATTAAATTTTTTCAATATAGAAAACTATTATTTTTTTAACTTTCTGGAAAATTATTAATTTTTTTTCATGTATATTGAATTATATAAAATATTATATATATATATTTGTGTGTGTAGAAAAAATAAGAGTAATAATTTTCTAGAGAGAATAAAAGAACAGCAATAACAGATTTAATAAGAGAAAGACGTAAAGAGAATTGCGAAAGCATAACTTTATTTTACATTTAAAAAAATTAAATCATAATTTATTCGTTATTACTTACCTATTTTCGTCTGTACATGAGCCGGTCTTGTGTGAAAGAGCTCTGGAGGTAAAGTTCTTTTGCCGCGGGCTGAGCCTCTTCCGCTTGACACAACTGGTAAAGGGAGGCTACCTGTCATCCCGCCTGCGCCTGCATCTCTATCTCCACCTCCACCACCAGCTATAGCTACAAAGATGTTAACTCTTATTTTATAAAAAAAGGAACATTTGTAAATGTAATTAAATGTTCAAATAAATACACAAATTTCTCAAAGATTTTGATTACACTTTTTAGAAAATATCTGAAATTACATATAATATTCAGAGAATAATATATGCTACACTTATGTACTTCTTACATGAAAATTGAATTCGTGTGAATTGTTGACAATATTGTAAAAAATGCATCATTATGCGCATCAATTTTATTTCAACAATCCTTATACATGATAATATTGTCATGACTTTTACGCCCGAAAAGAAACACGCTAAAGTGAGAATTTATTATACGACTACTGCAAATCGTATTTGTATTGTAGATCTAAAATGAAGCAATAAAATACCTTGAATTCCCATTTTTTCCATGCCTCTACCAATCATTCCAACTCCTGCACCATCACCCTTTTCACCAATGCGTTGACCTCTTGCACCAGTACCCTATCACAAAATTTATTTCGACTATTAATTGCAATAAACATACTGTTTTATTCCTAATGAATATAAGTCAGCCTACCATAAAGCAATATAGTTTGTCAAATAGAATTTTAAGTTTAAAAGTAAGCTCACATCAAATAACTACTAAAATTTTGGCCAATTAATCAGTAAAGTACTAATATGAATGATATATTTTCAAAAGCTAATTATACAAATAATTAAGCAAATAATTACAAGTAAATTTCCATTACTGCTAATGAGATTTAACATCATTACTAATTTTGGGCAAGCTATTTAAAGTTGTGTTCTGTTTTGCACAAAAGAAAATATATTAAATATGAAATAATTCTTTAAATTAATCATATAAATTAGATGTATCCAAAGTGACCCAGGGTATCAATTGTGTAACTTTTTCCAGTGAAAAATTTCTGCCAATCGCGCATTGATTTTAAAATGAAATTTTCACGTTTTTACTTTATAAAAAGTTACACAATCAATACCCAGAACACTCTTGACAATTCTCATGAGGCAGAATGGATCGAGATGTACAAAGTCTTATTTTTTATACAAAATTCTCTGAGAATTCCAGGTTTTCCAGGGAGTATACACCCTGAATACTTGTTTTCAGCAGCGGAAGTTTCTTCTGTATTTGAGTGGTCATGTAGCGGTCAATAAAAAATACAATGCTTACTAAGAGATTTAAACAAATAAACTATCCTAAATAGAATGAGCGAGCACGTGGTAGGTCCACATAAGCATTACCGCCTCGCTCAGATAAACTTCCGCTGTTGAAAACAAGTATTCAGGGTGTATACTCCCTGGAAAACCTGGAATTTTCAGAGAATTTTGTATAAAAAATAAGACTTTGTACATCTCGATCCTGGGACACCTTGTATATTAATACAAAGTCTCTCAGTATATTATGTATTTGAAATAAAATAATTTAATAATTATTATATATGTATTATATATAAATTACATATATATACTAAAATATTATATATATTATATAATCTTTATATTAGCAAATAAAAGTCAATCTGTTTGTGTTAAGATGGAGGAAAAAAAAAAACCAAAGATACATAAATAAAATTTTCATATTAGTCAGAAGTAGTCAAAAAGATTCTCTATTATATTAAAATTATATTTAAAATTTGATGATTGTGGTGATTGTGGTAGAGTTGTATGTCCACTCTTGGAAGATAAAATCATTGAAAGTATTTTGCCATGAGAGGAGTCTACTGTATCCTCTATCAAGTCTTCATCAAGAGCATCCTAAAGAAAAAGAATTTGATAATAATATTGTATTATATTATTTACTGCAGAGGCTTGTCCAGCAGGTTGTCCAGGTCTGCGGACAGCTCCACCACTAGATGTTGATGGTTGAGCATGAGGAAGTTGCTGTTCCTGCGCACTATGTGCCTGCTGCAGACGCTGCGTTGCACGCCCACGAGTCCCTCTTCCGCCTTTCTGAGACATTTTTGTCTAAAACAAAATATTAATAAGTAATCCTGATAGAAAAAAAAAATATATATAACAAACTTATTAAGGAAAAAATATATTAAAAATATATAGCTATAAATATGTAATATAAACATTATACATGAAATATTTAATATATAGTGCATTTTTTCTTTCAAAAAATCAATATATAATATTCATTGCTCAACATCCATTGCTTTTTTTTTTACTTTATTTAAGTATATATTACATAAGGCTTGTTTTTTGTTCCTGCACTAATGAACTAGTGCACACTGGTGCAACAAGTTAGAATGTGACAAATATATTTTGTTTCACTCTAACTTATTGTACCAGTATGCACTAGTGCATTTGTTAGTGCAGAAACAGAAAACAAGCTTATACTACAGTTGCGTAAAATTAAAGTAAAATTATTAGTATTGTATAATGAAATTATTTAGTAAAATTAATACTATATGTACTATATTATAGTACAGTAAAATTTTTTTATTAATTGTGTTCGCGTTCAAATTTTTTTCTGGCATTTTTTTTCGAAGTGTAAATATATAATTTAATGTATTTTTCGTTGCTTCTTTTTAATATCCCCAACTTATGTCTCAATTTAGATCTAACAATAAGTAATTGTTCGTATATTGTGTAAATTCTGTTATACAATTCTGCCATTGTAATGTTGGAGGTTACGACAGGGACGCGTTTAAACATGTTCAGCCGATCAATCATACAACAGGCAGGTAAACAAAGATGGCAAGAGAGAGCAAAAAAAATTGAAAAAAACTCTCGTCACATATAAAAGAAATCGTAAACTAAAACTTTTGAGAAAAAACCATTCGTGCACCATAAAATATATATTGCATCCTGGAATATATAGCGAAGAAACTATTTACGATTTTCCGGCTCTCAAATTTTCTACCTGCGTTACATGTGTATCCCTTTTTTGTGTCCCTGGAATTAACGTAGACCGGGTGATGAAATACGATCGATAAATTGACTGTTTCGAAACATAATATTACAAAAATTCAATATAAATTTAAAAAAAATAGAGTTAAAAATTAGACATTTTTTTTCTATTTTTCACGACACAAAAATACTTCCTCGAGTTTAGAACATTTTATTCCGATTTTGTTTCTGGACGTTATAACCAAATAAATCCCCGAATAATTTCGTAATAATTTTTTTCTGCTCCTTCAGCTTTATTTACCGTATCTGTAATTTTCCCTCGATCCTTTCTTTTCGAGTATATTAATATATACTTGTTTCACTTTTAATAAAAGAAAAACAAGTATAAAAAAAAGAATATATATTCGAAGATTATTACGTTCGTCTCTAGGTCAATATCCTTTTCAGTATATATTTCGTACGGATACGATTTTATCTCTGAAGTAATATGATCCTGCTGTGGTTAATGTTTCAAGAGCCGAAAGAGCATTTTCTCAGAACCGACCAATAGGGTGAAATAATAAACATGTCTTAGAGAACCTAAGACAGTAACCGTGTTTTGCGACAAAATAAAATAGAGAACCTAGAATATATTTGCCATTTCACCCTATTTATCGGTGGATTCTGAAAAAATGACTGAAGAGAGCTCTTTCGGTTCTCTAGGACATGTTTACCATTTCAGTACAATTCATCAAGTAAATAAATAAATAAATAATGCTAGTAACAGAAGATATTAAAATTTAAGCTTCCATTGTTTCGGCACGTTATTTCGGATTTATATATAGGAAAATACTTGATCTATTCATCGTTGAAGACTGAATATTGAATCACATTGTATAAAACACATATTTTGCGAGAAAACTAAAATAGAGCATGCAAAGAATAAAAAATACCTTCTATAAAAATATCTTCTTTCTCCTCTCTTCCGATCAAATCAATCTACGATCTACACAATCCGTCCTAATGAACTGAGGATACTGATGCTGGCAATCTATTGACTCTACCGAGAGGCCGTACTTGATGAGACTCCCTGATTGGTTGGGCCTTGGCGATCGTGACGTCACAGCCAATGGAACGCAACGCGGGATGTCACGTGGTCTTCGAAAAGCGCGGGCTCGGCCGCGATGTAAACTGAAAAAAAAAGTTTCGACTAATTTTTCTCAAAATACGAAGCACGATGATTTTTCCGCGATAAATTTACTTCGATTGAATATATTATGCGATAAGAAACGAACTCGAGGGACGACAGAAATGTAAGTATCTTTAGCAAAATGCAGTATCTCAAGCGACCAATAGGAACGTTCGGCCCGAATAATGTGCTTCGCATATCTTTTTTCTTCTTATAGAGCATGGAGAAAACAATAACAGAAGGGATATCCCCTTCGACTAAGCAGACTCGGTGGGGGAACGGAAACGCCATATTGGTTAGGCTAACCAATCCATTTTTTTGTCCATTTTTTAATTTAATTTTATTTGATTACTTTTCTATTTTTTCAATGGAATTGATAATCAAATTTCTCTCATTTTTTTAAGACAAAAATTTTGAGGAAAAATTACGCTCGCTGTTTTGATTGGTAAATTAAACGCGCATCTTGAAGTTAGACAGCTGACATTCTCATCTTCTGAAATTTTTATGATCTATGGCGTAAAATGATGCGCGCTATTGTCGTATATGGTTATACACCTCTACATGTGTTTTGCATTATTTTGCATGTTTTTATACATCACGACGTTGTTTCCTCTCGTGTCTCGTAATACCTCTTTTTCGATAAATCGCGGAAATTAATATCCCTCGGAAGGATTGTCCGTGGAATATTCTGATCCTCGCGAGGCAGCTGCGAAATATCGTCGAATTGATGAACGAGATGAGAAACAATCGCGAGCTACGCCGGTGGACACTTTGTTTTGCGACAACTGTCATCCTTCGGTAAACACACGTGATTACGAAAGAGAGTCAAGGTATTGTGACATCTGGTATCAGTATTTATGATACATATTAAATAAACAGCGAACTGATTTGTTTACTTGACCGTTACATCAAAGAAAATTTTCTTGCGGATTAGATTATGACACTTACGAATGTTTAATATATATTTATATAAACGCGAAGAGAGAAACTAAACGATTACGAGCATTTGCGCTCTTTGTAATGTATACTATTATTTATAAATATATCGTTAATTTATGTAATATATAATTATGTATATAATATTATTTAAGCATATTTATACATATTAAATAAAACATTAAATGAAAATTTTGTGTAGGAGGAGATATTCACGATGAACGAGAACGAAAATACGAAGAAGCAACTTACACACAACACACATCCGAATCTTTCGAATGAGAACCTGTTCCATGCTGTGTATGTTCCACCAGAATACAAAGATTGGCCAGATGAAAATGGTAATTGATACAGTATTGACTTACTAATTATAATTTTATAGAATAAAGCTCTCTCTTGTGTAAATCTATTAAATATTGATTTTGTCAAAAAAAAAAACATTAATTTGTGCTGTTTTATATTAGGCAAATTTAATTATTAATATTGTTAAATATCACTTCCTTTGCAGAAGTCTTTCATATTTATCCAGACATGCAATCTGCTTTAAAAGTTATACAAACTTACAAGAAGGGTCGTTTGAAAATCTTTAAAAATTATTTTGATGCTGTGGGATATGTAAAGACTGGATATGAACAACCTTCTGGCAATTTTTCTACAATTTCTACTAGTGTGTCGCAAGAAAAATCTAGTAATTTTAAAGCACCAGAAACGCAGGAGCTTCAGGCCTTTAAAAGATTAATTAAGGATGGGGATTTGGAATGTGTGAAGAAGACTGTATGGAAAAATCCGAGATATCTAATCAGTAGTGGAGATACACCTGCAATTTTACAGGCAAATATATACTTACAATGATATTTTTAAATTTAATTGTGCAATTAGATAATTGTGCATTATAAATATACATTGAAGCAAATTCACAATTATAATTACTTGTATAATTTTTATGGTTATAATAGATTAAAATTTCAGAATTATTCTTTAATTACTTATATAATAAATCTTATATATTTTCTTATAGGAAACAACTTTGTTATGTTTTAGATGGGTTCTCGTTATAATGCTCTGCATATAGCAGCAAACAAGAACAAGCCAGAAATGTGTGAATTTATATTGAATACTGTTGGAGATCCTAAGTTTATGCAATGGCATTATGGGGAAGACGAATGCAAAACTTATGTGAACCCTGCACAGATTATGCAGGATTTATATTTAAATACACCTGACAAAGGACTCAATGAGACTCCGTTACATTTTGCTGTTAAATACGGTTATAAAGACGTAGTTCGGGTTCTCGTCTCTTATTCTCAATGCATTAAAACTTTGCCAAATAAATATAATCAGCTACCTGTAGATGTATGTTGATAAATTTATTTTTGTTTAATATGTGTGTGTGTGTGTTGTTGTCTGCATATGTAATAATTTGATTTTAGATTATATGTAGCAGGAAGCATCAAGAAGATGAAGAGCTAAAATGTAAGATACGTTTGCTGCTGGAAGATCAGTTTTATGTACCTGTATTAAGAGCTGAAGGCAACACCTGTCCACCTGTCATTGGTGAACCATTTTCACCGACTAGTCCACTTGTGAGTGTAAATTTTATATCACTTTTACTATTATAACATATTTCATTATGTGTGTATATTTTAATGTGATTATGAGTCATATTTCTATTATTTTCAGAGTTTGAATAGAGATCCCATTAGCCCACGTGTAGAAGTAAGGGCGTTTGCAGGTCCAATGACTAAATCACAGGCAGTGGAATTCCGGAAAAAATGGAAAACACCTCCACGTGTTATTACCCCTAAGAAAGGACAGGGTGATGCATTTAGTATTGTAAATAGTCCTAGTTTAGCTCTGAGACTGCAAGATACAGAAAAAGGGTTGGAACGCGTTGGAAGGTATAAATTAATATAAAATAAATCATATTCAAATTATTAATTGTTATTACTATGTTTTTAAAGTTGATATTACTTGCAATATGTATTTGTAGATACTTTTTTTTTAATTTTACAAGTTATATGAATTTATAATTATTTTAACAATTGATGTAATTTTTGTATTATTTAAAATATTCTGTCTTGTATAGATTTGATTACAGTCTTTTTCTCTCTAAATCTTATTTATTATAATATTATTCCTTTTTATATTTTTGTAAATCTAATATTTTTTTCTTAGAGAACTTGCTGAGGAATGTCAAGTGCCTTGGAAGGAATACTGGCTATTTTTACAAGATTTCGTCGATTTTCGGAGTGAGGAAGGATTGGCGAAACTCGAAAGCTATTTAGAGCAAAGATTTGAAAATAAGGAGCCATTACTTTACTCTATGGTATAAAAACATTGAGTAGCTTCACTCTTTCAATGTTTTATATAGTCAATTTTTTAAATGTTTCTGTTCTTTCAGAAAAATCGGACTAATAATGCGAATACAAATACGTCATCAAATTGCCAACAAATGTCAGAAAAGACAATTGTTGACAAAGTACAAGATTTGTGTGATAAATTATGCTCAGGCTTATTAGATGCTACAGCTGATGAAGAAGAAGATAACACAGGTATTTATTATTTGTGATATGATATTCTTTATAATCTATAAAATATCTCATTATTAAACCATGATTTTATTATGATAAAGATTAGAGCACTAATCATTTAATTTTATTTCATAGATAGCTCAGAATATTTTACACCTCCATCTTCACCAGAACTCATTGAGGATGATTCTGATGTTGATATGCAGAATGCTGAAGAAGGTTCTATAATATTTATTGAAGGGTAAACTATTTTTCGTTATTATTATTGTAACGATATATAGTAAAGATATATTTTAAACAATATTTTATGTATAATACTAATAATATTCTTTAGGTCTTCACCAACAAAATTAGATTATGCTGTCTATAATGCGGTTTTATCTACCATTGATCCTGATACGTATCCCTATATTTATCGTTGGCGGCATGATATGCAGCTGGCTATGCAACGTGATCCACATAGGTAAATCATATATCTTTAAATTTTAACTTGTTTTTTAATTTTAAATAATTCATTAATAATGATAAATAACGCGCGTTTTATACTACTTATTAGTTTTCTTTTAATTTGCAGATTTAACAATAAAAAATTGCTCAGGAAGAAACTGTTCACCAACAATTAAATAATAAAAGGAATTACATCGACAATCTAGCTGACCTTTCGATTATATAGCATTGGCTTCTTCCCAGATTACAACCTTACATAATATAAGGAAAGAAAATTAGTTCATCTTGAGTTAGAGCTAATTAATGCCAATGTAATTAACCATAGAAAATCTCAACTATATATTAAGGACGCCCGTAAAATTGTATAAACCTTTTTTTATATAATGTTGTTGCAGAAACAGACTCTATATTGTAAGTAAAAGTTAAGAGAAGAAGGATATATTTTGAGATGTTTTTACAAAAGACTTGTAACTTGGAAACTTTCGCGATTAAACTTTTTAAAACTTAGCGTATACATCTTTTTAATGTTCATCGTTCTTTGCAGTTACAATAAATACTCACTTATTGACAAATGCGTTTACCGATGTGAATCTTCCTTTGTTGTATCTTACATTAGAAATACACGTTTTTCATTATTATTGCATTTGTTATCAATAATCTTTATTATTCATAATATAATATTACATATTTTATTTTTAACAGAACATTTATGAGTTTTCTTTTTCGTTTATATAACGAAGCATAATCACATGATTTATGTATTATTTCGTTTTTCTTAATCATTTTCTCAATTATTTCTTTATCATAATTCATATCTTTAGTGTCTAACAGCTCCTTCAATTTAATTAAGCGTTAATGGGAGTGGGCGGTGTCTGTTTTAATTGTAAGATAATCGAGCGCATCCGAGAGACGTCCTTGGAAGTGCGGGATGATTTTGGATTAAATTCACAAAGCTTGGCAATGCGTTCCCATTCAGTGCCTGGTTCAACCTCATCTGCCTCTGCAACGAATTGCTTCTCCGCGTTCCTATTTGAAAGAATAAGCATTACATCAAATGTCAAATCACGTATCGTGTATCAGTTAGTAATATAATGAAACAAAAAGTTAAATGATAGGATGTATTTTATCTCAGTTGATTCAGAAAACAAAAGAAAAACAAATTTATGTATATATTGTATGTACTTTAATAATATACGATGTAGATACAGATGTGTAATATCTGTATAGATAAACTCGATGCAAATTATTTATCACGGTTCTTTCATAATGCTCAGTTGATTCAACAATTTATTTCTTTTCCTTGCTTGAAAATATAGTTTTTAATGTGATTGTGAGATGATTGACAAACATTCAAGGATTAACAAGTGTATTTAGATAAATATTTCAGTCAATGTATGCAAGTATTTCAAGTATTGTAAAGCAAAAATAATCTTGAGAAGAACTTCATCAATGTTGTTTAGCAACAATCTTACAGCAATGTATTAAGAAGCAATACTGCGATAATTGAGAAAGAAAAAGAAAGAGAAATGTGCTCTTATATTTCAGATTCACATTCTGAACAATCAGTGTCGGGGTTTTTAAAGTTGTGAAAGCAAGTTGTGTTACAATGCAATAAGTCATTATGCATGTTTTTCATGCAGATAAAGATATTTTAACTTACTTGGCCGACTCCCTAAGAAGCGAAATAAAAATAATACAATTATATATACATTCAAAACTTTAAAAGTTATTTATAACATATTGAATTATTGATATTAATTGAATTAAATTAATATAATATTTATTTTTGCAAGTTTTCTTCAAAACGTATATACATTTTTAATTTTTTGTTTTTTTAATGTAATATTATTATCTGGTAAAATATTCGTGCTATATAATTATTTAATTTGTGATAGATGATAACAATAAACAATCACATTTGATGTTCAGTTTTAGCTTGCCAATTCTTCACGGAATATATATACAAGATAAATATATATACAAGGAAGATAAAAAAAAATTAGAAAATTAGTATAATTACCTGTTAGTAGTTTTCGTTTTATTAATGGCTTCTGCGTGATGTTTATACCATTCTTCCAACTCTTTTTTTGCAGCTTCTCTCCATTCTTCCTTTTTCTTTTCCTCTTCGGCATCTAAAACATTTCCATTCAATGTTATTCTCATGTTATTCTCTTGTTATTCTCATAAAACAATCATAACACAAATATTTTGAAGTTTTATATTTAACTTTCAATACCTTTCTCTTCAAGACGTGCTTTCTGTTCTTCTCTCCATTTTTTAATCTTCTCAGGTTCTTCTTTGATCGGTGTAGGTACAGGTGGTTCTGTATATAAAAGAATTCAATCAAACTCTCTTTAAAATGCAATTGAAAAGATTTAAAAATATTTTTATACCTGTTGAAGCTTGTGCTTCTGTTGACTGACCAATGGTGTCTACAATTTCAAAACTGCCTTCAGCATCACCACCTGGGCCAACTTTTAAATTTCCAAATTTCCCAGATAAATCATCTGTAAGACATTATTTATCTTTATGATGTTTGTATATACATAAACATGTTTTGACATATAATTAAATTTTATACACATTTGCTATTATGTGCAAGAATGAATGAACATTCTTAATATATTAAATCTTATTTACCATCAGATTGACCAGCTGCTGCCGCTGCAGCCAGAGTCACAGCCATCGGAGTAATCTCATCTTCTAAACCAGCCAATTGGTCCTGCTCCCTCGCCAGGAATTCTGCCGCTGGATCTACTTCTGGCTCGTTGACAAAATTGTCGCCAAATGCATCCATTATCTGAAAGAATTTGATCAATATTAGATAGTTCTTATATTATGGCCTAATAGAAAATCTATGATATTATACATATTTCTTTTCATAAATTATATACATTTTGTATTGTGAATTAATGTTTTTCTTTCACACAATAGATTATTTCGCTCATTATCAGACAGTAGTCATTAATGTCAAAGCATATATATATATGTATATAGCAAGCTAATTTTTATATCCGCAAATTCAACATAATTCTATAAATGATAATAAATAAAGAAAATAATATAAACGATATATACATATAGAGAGATAAAATATATATTATATATCTCGGAAAAGAAGTAAAACGTCAGCAATGATTTGACATTTGAGGTTAACCTTGAGCTAATCTTTAATCAGTTCAACATACCGTTTATTCGTCTGAATAAGCGTGTTTCACTTGCAAGGTACTCACTTACACCGCGTAAGAGTACTTGTCCAAAATAAATTACGGAATGTACATACAATTTGTCGTTATCTGAGTGAAGGAAACACCTCCTCCGAGAATTTTCTTCAGCTTCTCTCTCTCTCTCTCTCTTTCTTTCCCTCTCCTTTTCTCTTCAATGGTAAACGTCAATCGTGGATATATATACATGATATAAATATAAAGGTGTACGTGCACCATGCATGCGCAGTCGTATCAAACAATAGCCAATCAGAAATGGGATGGGGACCCGTAGTCGATTATAAGCTGCCATCTTTTTCCTCGTTTTCAAATCTCGATTTGTTAAGTTGCCATCTTTTTCTTTGTTTTTATTAAATATTGATTTGTTAAGTTGCCATCTTTTTTTTTATTTTTAAATCTCGATTTGTTAAGTTGCCATCTTTTTCTTCGTTTTCAAATCTCGATTTGTTAAGTTGTCATCTTTTTCTTCGCTTTTATTAAATATTGATTTGTTAAGTTGCTATCTTTTTCTTCGTTTTAAATCTCAATTTGTTAAGTTGCCATCTTTTTCATTGTTTTTATTAAATATCGATTTGTTAAGTTGCCATCTTTTTCTTCGTTTTTATTAAATATCGATTTGTTAAGTTGCCATCTTTTTTTTCATTTTCAAATTTCGATTTGTTAAGTTGCCATCTTTTTTTTGTTTTCAAATCTCAATTTGTTAAGTTGCCATCTTTTTCTTCGCTTTTATTAAATATTGATTTGTTAGGTTGTCATCTTTTTCTTCGTTTTTATTAAATATCGATTTGTTAAGTTGCCATCTTTATCTTCGTTTTCAAATCTCGATTTGTTAAGTTGCCATCTTTTTCTTCGTTTTTATTAAATATTGATTTGTTAAGTTGTCATCTTTTTCTTCGTTTTTATTAAATATTGATTTGTTAAGTTGCCATCTTTTTTTTTTATTTTCAAATTTTGATTTGTTAAGTTGCCATCTTTTTTTTCGTTTTTATTAAATATTGATTTGTTAAGTTGTCATCTTTTTCTTCGTTTTTATTAAATATTGATTTGTTAAGTTGCCATCTTTTTTTTTATTTTCAAATTTTGATTTGTTAAGTTGCCATCTTTTTTTTTGTTTTCAAATCTCAATTTGTTAAGTTGCCATCTTTTTCTTCGCTTTTATTAAATATTGATTTGTTAAGTTGTCATCTTTTTCTTCGTTTTTATTAAATATCGATTTGTTAAGTTGCCATCTTTATCTTCGTTTTCAAATCTTGATTTGTTAAGTTGCCATCTTTTTCTTCGTTTTTATTAAATATCGATTTGTTAAGTTGCCATCTTTTTCTTCGTTTTTATTAAATTTCGATTTGTTAAGTTGCCATCTTTTTCTTCGTTTTATTAAATATCGATTTGTTAAGTTGCCATCTTTTTCTTCGTTTTCAAATCTCGATTTGTTAAGTTGCCATCTTTTTCTTCGTTTTATTAAATATCGATTTGTTAAGTTGCCATCTTTTTCTTCGTTTTTATTAAATATTGATTTGTTAAGTTGCCATCTTTTTCTTCGCTTTTATTAAATATTAATTTGTTAAGTTGTCATCTTTTTCTTCGTTTTTATTAAATATCGATTTGTTAAGTTGCCATCTTTTTCTTCGTTTTCAAATCTCGATTTGTTAAGTTGCCATCTTTTTCTTCGTTTTTATTAAATATCGATTTGTTAAGTTGCCATCTTTTTCTTCGTTTTTATTAAATATCGATTTGTTAAGTTGCCATCTTTTTCTTCGTTTTTATTAAATTTCGATTTGTTAAGTTGCCATCTTTTTCTTTGTTTTCAAATCTCGATTTGTTAAGTTGCCATCTTTTTCTTCGTTTTTATTAAATATTGATTTGTTAAGTTGCCATCTTTTTTTTTTATTTTCAAATCTCGATTTGTTAAGTTGCCATCTTTTTCTTCGTTTTTATTAAATATCGATTTGTTAAGTTGCCATCTTTTTCTTCGCTTTTATTAAATATTAATTTGTTAAGTTGTCATCTTTTTCTTCGTTTTTATTAAATATCGATTTGTTAAGTTGCCATCTTTTTCTTCGTTTTCAAATCTCGATTTGTTAAGTTGCCATCTTTTTCTTCGTTTTTATTAAATATCGATTTGTTAAGTTGCCATCTTTTTCTTCGTTTTTATTAAATATCGATTTGTTAAGTTGCCATCTTTTTCTTTGTTTTTATTAAATATCGATTTGTTAAGTTGCCATCTTTTTCTTCGTTTTTATTAAATATCGATTTGTTAAGTTGCCATCTTTTTCTTTGTTTTTATTAAATATCGATTTGTTAAGTTGCCATCTTTTTCTTCGTTTTTATTAAATATCGATTTGTTAAGTTGCCCTCTTTTCCTTCGTTTTAAATCTCAATTTGTTAAGTTGCCATTTTTTTTTCAAATTTCGATTTGTTAAGTTGCCATCTTTTTCTTTGTTTTCAAATATCGATTTGTTAAGTTGCCATCTTTTTCTTCGTTATTATTAAATATCGATTTGTTAAGTTGCCATCTTTTCCTTCGTTTTAAATCTCAATTTGTTAAGTTGCCATCTTTTTTTCATTTTTAAATTTCGATTTGTTAAGTTGCCATCTTTTTCTTTGCTTTTACTGCTAGGGAAAAAGAACTAAGCAATGACTCCCTAGGAAATTTTTAAAATATTGTCATCTTTTTTTTTATGATGTAACTCCCTTCTATATGTATAACTTTTTTCTTTGCTTTTGCTGCTAGGGAAAAAGAACTAAGCAATGACTCCCTAGGGAATTTTTAAAATATTGTCATTTTTTTTTATGTATGTAATCCCCTTCTATATGTATAACTTCATACTTTAGGCCAAAAAACTATTGAAGAAAAACTTCATACTTCTTAGTATTTATGAATATGATTATAAATTATTTACATATGGCGCTAATATTTTTAACTAATGAATTTCAAATCAGGTTTTGTTCTATCGCGTCGATTCCGCATCTGGGTAAATCATAGCCGAAGAAAGAGATGCCGCGTGTCGAGTCTAGGCGCGCGGTTATGTTTATGTGGAACAGCTGATTGAGCTTTGCGTTCCTTATTTTTCTATCAATCCCTTTATCGGGATGGATATATTATTAAAGATATGTCAAGTCATTGCGATATCGCTCCCGCTAATTGCCATTTTAACTGACTCCAATGTTAGATAGCCATTGCAGCGCTGTTGACTCGTAATTGATAATTGTCGATAATGCTGCACGTACACAGATAAGACCCGTTATTTATCAAATTTTGTTGACTCGCTGACACGAATATGCTGCGACGTGACAAAGGAATTCTTAAACAATTCTGCAACTGCAAAATCCTGCGGGATAGCAGGATTCAGACGGAGGATTTATGGGTGCGAGACGGGAGAATCATAAATCCGGAGAAAATCTTTTTTGACGAGAAAATTAAGCCAGATGTTAAAATAGATTGCAACGGTGCTCTAATCTCACCAGGATACATAGATGTACAAATTAACGGTATTTAATTTTTTAATATAAATATGTTACAATTCTATTCCTTTTCCATGCCAAATAAAAAATTAATTAGTGTATCACATAAATTAAATTTTTAAATGAAAAATTTAATTATTAACTTGATTGATTAATCAATTGATTAAATAATTAAACTGAACATGTAGATTGCAAGTCATGGAAAAAAATGGAATTGTAGATAGCAGAAAAATTCTAAAATAAATAGATAAATATACTATAATAATTGGATAAATGGATATAATTAATATTTGTATTTTAGGTGGATTTGGCATAGACTTCTCCTTCAATGTCGACAAGGTAGAAGAAAGCATTGATAAAGTGGCAAAGGGATTGCTAGCACACGGAGTAACATCTTTTTGTCCTACCTTAGTAACATCCCCGAGTGAAATATATCACAAAGTGTTACCGAGAATAAAAAAGCAAAATGGTGGTGACCATGGTGCTTCTGTACTAGGTGTTCATGTAGAAGGACCATTTATTAGCCCAAAGAAGAAAGGTGCCCATCCAGAGAAATATATTAAAAATTTTGATCAGGTAACAGAGAAATATAATATTAAATCTATTTTCATTTACATTCAGAATATATCTCTGTAAAATCATATTCATGTGTTACTTAATTCATAATTTTTAATAACTATATTGCATTTCAGGGATTTAAATCAGTTACCGATATGTACGGTGATCTGGATAATGTATGTTTGCTCACATTAGCACCTGAAATTCCAAATGCTATATCTATTATTGAGGAATTATGTAGAAGAAATATCAAAGTATCTCTTGGTAAATCAAATATCTAATATCTCAGCAACAAAGTACTTATATTCAAATATATCAAATATTTTACAGAGATACATTCGATATAGAAGTTACAAAAGTTATTAAGAGACTTGCAAAGTTTCCTTTTAATATAAATTATATGTCACACATTTTAGGACATTCTATAGCGAATTTAAGTGAGGGAGAACAGGCAGTTGAACATGGAGCGTCATTTATTACTCATTTATTCAATGCTATGTTACCTGTAAGTTAAAAAATATATACATAAATGATTTCTATATTTCAAAATTATTTTATATAACATTTTTTCAATTTTACTCAGTTTCATCATAGAGATCCAGGATTAGTTGGTCTCTTAACGTCAGATCAAATTCCACCTGGAAAAATTATTCATTTTGGCATAATCTCTGATGGGATTCACACTCATCCAGCAGCGTTGCGAATCGCTCATAGAACACATCCTGAAGGTTCATACTTGATCATTATATGTATAAGCATACTTGCATAATACACTGACAATTTTTATGAGATTAAAATTACATGATTTTTCAGGTCTCGTACTTGTAACAGACGCGATATCAGCGTTGGGTTTGGAGGAGGGAATCCATCAACTAGGACAGTTTAAGATAGAGATACGTAAAGGATGTGCATATATCATTGGAACCGACACTCTGTGTGGCAGCATAACCGAGATGTCCAAGTGTGTGAGATACTTTAAAGATGCTACAGGTAAATTAACATTTCTTTATAAAATAATAAAACAAATATATTAATTAATGCACAACACTTGACGATATGATTGCTTTGTGTAGGTTGTACGATAGTCGAAGCCTTGGAAGCGGCGACTTTGCATCCTGCAAGATGCCTCGGTATCGATTCCTACAAAGGTATTCTTAATTTTGGAGCCGATGCCGATTTTATATTATTAGACGAGAAGTTGGAGCTCCTATCGACATGGATTTCGGGAAAATGCGTTTATGAGAAGATTCCTGGCAGTGCAAAACAACTGGAAGTGTAAACGTAAGTAGATGTCCTAATACAAATCAGAATTCAGTTGTATAAAACTGGATATAATTTGGCCACTGTATATCGACAATGACAGGCCTGCAATGTTATAATGAAAAAGCCTTAAACTTACTTTAGACTTAGCTTTTGTACATTACACTGAGATTTTTATATATTTATACTTGTAGTTTTGCAAGTAAATAAAAATAGATTATTTTATATAAGAAAAATATATACTAAATAAAATCTAAAGATTCTTTAATTTTTATGGATATTCTGACTTATATAAAATCTAAATTTATAAAGATACTATATGATGACTGTGCGAATATGAAAATACTTCAATTTTTTTTAAATTTGAAAACTTATATAGAAAGCTTGTATGCTTCTTCTCATTTGCATTCTTGGCAAGGTTTTCTTTAATCATCACTTTTTACTTTGCATATATTATGCTCCGTAGAGCATAAAGATGTCAAGTAAAATTTAATAATTTAATATTGCAAAGATATTTTTTACGCAACTAAAAAATAATTAGGTATTGTTGCACTGCATTAAATTAATCTTAAAGTCATTATGTGTACTTACAAGTTTTATATTAATGTACATAAGGCTTCTTTTACAGAAATGAAATTTAAATGCGATGAATTAAATGGCTATTTAAAAGAAAGAAAAATACTAAATTTTCTGAACAATATTGAAACTTTCACGATCACATATATACTGCATTGCATTTAATATTTGCTTACAGTGATTTTAATTTTTTGTTTAAACTGTCTTTTTGTTTGTGTACGCGTACAGTATAATAGCTTTTTTTCTAAACATAATAGACTTTAATTTTACCCATTTTCCGCTAATTCTTCTAACTATATATGCAATTGGTATTAGTTAATAAAATAAAGTAAAAGCACAGAAAAGGAAAAAAAACAAAAAAGAAAAGAACAAGACTGTTTCTAAAATTAATCAATAATGTAAGACAATTTTAAAGAAAACAAGAGAGCATGTCTTAGCTGATAAATCATTGTGCGTGTGTAGTTGTCACTTAATTGATGAAATTAATAAACTGCATCCTTCAAGTTACAAATATATTGAGAGTGCCTGATGCCAAATGTGTGCGCAGGGGGAATGTCGAGAAGCACCTAGAACATAATATGTTAATTAATTATATTAATCGTTATTACATTACATTGCATTTAACGTTACATTGTATGTGTCTTCTGACACCACGTAACTTTTTACTATTAAATATATGATTTATATATTTTATATATTTTTACATATATACACTATACTTACACATATTGTATTTTATATATGTGTATTACATATATTTATAATTAACGCATTATATATTTGTTTTATAAATATATATTGATTTAATGTTTATAAATATGCATTTTATCTACGGCGATACCTTTTCCGGACAATGCGCTCCGGGTCCCGGAATCTGCGAATGATCGTTGGGCAACGGGAAACGGGCGCTAATGCTGTACGCCGGACTTTTCACTCTGACCGCATCCGGTTTGATAGTCTCGTATGCACCCGGCCCGGGTACGAGAACGCGATCGTCCGTAAAGACTTTTTGCCTACCGGACATCGAGTAGGCAGGCGCCGCTTTCTTGTTACCCTCCTTGGTTCCGCCGAGGGCGGAAGGGATGTTATATATATTAGGCGCTGAAATGTTCAATCGATCCATCTCTTCAGAAATTTCGTGTTCGCGCGAATAATTACATTATTTCTTATAAACTATTTCATCCACCATTTACGTCGTATTTTTTTTTCTTTTAATCATGTAGGATATTTTCTCGTAAAATTGTCCGATAAGGAATTGCATCTCATTAAGTGGGTGTGATATACGTGAAGCCAAAAGGCGATAAAAAAAAAGAATCAAACTATAGCCAATTATTGCAATAGACTAATTCAATGCGTGACATCCCGTGCATGTCAATATATATGCAAAATATAAAATTGCTACGATGTGACATGCTTTGATGTAACATGCATCATCGATGTTTACCCTGCATCCTTGGGGCCGAAATTGATACACCGAACTGATTATTTACCTGGAACGTCGTCTGGCCTGCTCGTGGGCGGTCTGAGGCCGAAAGTAAATTGCAATGCTTTCTCCAACAAAAGCATTGCTTTTTCCGGACTGTACTCGCCAGGACCTAGAATAGAAATTTTACGATTAAAGGATTAAAAATTAAATTAATTAAAAATTGTAAATTAGAAATTGAAGATGAATGACAGTTTAACGATCAACATAAGATATACAATATTGATCACTTGAAAAAATAATTCAAGGAGCAATGATAAAATAACAAAGTGCACCTGGTATAGCATCCTTCTCGTGGATCTCAGTTTTAATTCCGAAACTGTATTGCAGCGACTTAGATAAGTTTACTTTCTCAGGACTGTACGTACCAGGAGCTGCAAATAAATTATAAAGTATTTTAAAATGTATTCTTGAAAAATGCCTTTTCATCACATTTATCTCGTGTTGCTAATACTAAAACACATATTTATGGAAAACATGGCACATATAATATTTATTATATACATGTTTTATCACAATAATATTTCGTAGGAATCGTGGGAATTAAAATATAAATATTAGAAGTACATATAATTTTATATGTATTGCTAAAGATTATAAACATCTACAATCTATTTCAGTATCTATTTTTTTCTGGTCTTCTCATACGCAGGCACAAATATTAGTGTTGATATTAAATATACAATTGTTTTTCCATAGTTAGTAGGACTTAAAGCATTTAATATAATATCTACGACATGTCTCCTTTAAATTCACAAACAATAAAGTGTCAGCAAGACAATGGATAATATTATTAACATTCCTCTATTTCACACCGATTACCTGGTGTATCATTAGACCTATGCAAGGGTTTTCTATTACTGAAACTGAAATAGGGTTTGTGTTCCAAATGTTGCGCTTTCTCCGGATTGTAACTACCAGGGCCTACCGAAGCAATCAGATTGAATTAATATGGCTCATTCTAATTATGTTCTTTTATATTTAATTATTAGAAAAAACGATCGATTTTAGTTAATTTTCACACCGTTACCTGGTGTATCACGAGGCTTATGGAGGGGTTTTCTATTACCGAAACTGAAATAGTGTTTATGTTCCAGATTTAGAGCTTTCTCCGGAGTGTAATCGGCAGGGCCTATCAAAAGCAATCATAAAATAATGTCATTCGTTGTTCGATTATAATCTTTCTTTTTTTTTTACTACCGTTAGTCCACTTAGAAAACAATTACTAAAGATGAAATGTTAATGCCAGATTAATCCACACACCGTTACCTGGTGTATCTCTAGGTTTATCCAAAGATTTCCTATCACCAAAACTGTAATAGGGTTTATGTTCCAGATTTAGAGCTTTCTCTGGTTTGTAATCAGCGGGGCCTACAGAGGCGAGGCAATCAGAAAATTAATGTTGACATCATTTACTATATATATTCACATACGTCAGATTCTCTCTTCATGTGTTAACGTCCAAGAATGTGGCTCGGAAAGAAAGAGATTTATTCGCATGATTCTCACCTGGATTGTCGTTCAATTTTCCTGGTGATCCTTTCCCGGTCAAACTGTACTGCGGTCCCTTGTCCAGATTTACTTTCTCGGGACTGTACGTGCCAGGCGCTGCGCACACACAATATATAAAAAAATTAGTAATTATAAATCACCAAGGATATCACATTTTGAAAAAAATATCGAAACGTACCGGGAATATTATCAGGTTTCGGTGTGAGTCCTTTGCCAGTCAAACTGTACTGCGGTCCTTTGTCTAAATTTATTTTCTCCGGACTATAAGCACCAGGTGCTGTAAAAATCGCATTTAATATTAAAAAATTTTTATATTTTTTATATTTAAACGAAATAGACATATAATCCGTACATAGAAAGCTTACGTTAAAAAAGATGAGATCTTAATTTTAAATTAGGCAATACGGATTAAATGTGTATTAATTATACCTGGCGTATCGCTGGGTTTATCGAGAGACGTTCTAAGTCCGAAACTGTACTTCGGCGTGGTGTCCAACTTCACCTTCTCAGGCGAGTACGCGCCAGGCGCTGAAAATGTAATTTTATTATGCTAATGTATCTAATAAATTATATTTCACCTGCATTTTTACACACCTGGTGTATCGGCAGGTTTCTCGACGGATGGCTTGCCAGTTAAACTGTACTGCGGCCCTTTATCCAAATTTACTTTCTCTGGACTATAAGTTCCAGGTGCTGCACGAGAGAAATAAATGCATACAACAATAGCTCGCGTTCAGCTCGTGTTATCGAAATAACCGTTTTAATTACCTGGTGTATCGCTAGGCTTGTCCAGGGAGGGTCTAAGACCGAAACTGTACTGCGGGGTATTATCCAATCTTACTTTCTCGGGCGAGTATGTGCCAGGCGCTGTGAAAATCGCGTTGTTGTATTACTTGCTTCAAAAAGATACGCATTTCATACGTGTGTTTTTATGGATACCTGGTATATTTGCGAGTTTCTCGGCGGGCCCCTTGCCAGTCAAACTGTACTGCGGGCCTTTATCCAAATTATTTTTTCTGGACTGTAAGTACCAGGCGCTACAAAATAAAGACAAGATTAGATTATATAATTTGAGGACTTAATCAATTTATACTAATTTTATTAAATGCAATGTATTATTCGATTACCTGGCGTATCGCTGGCTTTGTCTGGAGCATGCCTAATCCCGAAACTGTATCGCGGCGTATTATCCAATCTGACTTTCTCGGGAGAGTATGCACCGGGCGCTAAAAATCATGTTATATAATTTATAGATTATATTAATTTACCGATTACATGTATCTCTTTTCACACTTTTCATTTTACATACCTGGTGTATCCGCGGGCTTCTCGACGGGTCCCTTGCCAGTCAAACTGTACTGCGGTCCTTTATCCAAATTTACTTTTTCTGGACTGTAAGTACCCGGTGCTGCGAGATAGAAATAAACGCATGTAATAATTAGTATAAAATGTTAATACAATTATTTTTAATATATTGTGATAATGATATATTAATTACCCGGAGTATTGTTGGGTTTCTCCAGAGGAGGCCTGATTCCGAAACTATATTGCGGGGTAGTGTCCAATTTAACTTTTTCGGGACTGTATGTTCCAGGTGCTGAAAATTGCATTTACATATTAAATGTATATAGAATATATATACATCTTATACATCTTTATATGCATATAAAAGCATATCTATACATCTAGCTTTATCATACCTGGCGTGTCGGTTGGTTTTTCGGCAGGTCCTTTTCCGCTCAAGCTGTACTGAGGTCCTTTATTCAGATTTACCTTTTCGGGACTATAAGTACCAGGCGCTAAAATAGAAAAAAGAACAATGTTATTTCGTATTCCGATAACAGATAGTCTACCATATCTACCCGGTGTATCGTTCGGCTTTTCTATAGCAGGCCTTAATCCAAAGCTGAATTGTGGTGATGGGTCCAGCTTCACCTTTTCGGGACAATACGCGCCTGGCGCTATTTTAAAAAAAAGATCACTTTATTATATATTTTCTTTATTTTTTTTGCAAAATAGATAGTCTCTCTATATACCTGGTGTTCCGTTACATTTTTCGGCTCGGCCTTTACCGGTCAAACTGTACTGCGGACCCTTTTCTAGATTCACCTTCTCTGGACTGTACGTTCCAGGTGCTACATTGAAACGAAATAAAAAGAAACACGTTGTAAGATGAGGAGAGTAAATGCGTTTATGACAAATGTGTACAGATAAAAAATAAAATATCTCTATATAAGTTATCCTTCGATTTACTAAAGAGGAGATATATTATGGATCGTTCATTACTTATATAACTAATATCCTTCAATCTATTATACTATTGAAAAAAATATCTCTTGATAATTATATAGATATATCTATTAATACATATCTTTATTTACTGATACATATCTTTATAAAATAAAATAAAGAAGTTATACTCAGATAATATCGAACAAGATTAAATTTATTGAACCATTTCACGCATTTGTCGCGGTATCCAAAGAGATTTTAATTAATATATTTAAAATCTCTCGACTCCTTCGTATTACCTGGCGTGTCGCTCGGTTTATCGAGCGGTGTTCTAAGTCCGAATGTGAACTGCGGTGTACTGTCCAGCCTCGTTTTCTCGGGGTGATAAGTACCTGGAGCTAGACACACTTGTCGATAAATTTCACAAGTTTCCAATTTCCTTGAGTGGTAATTTTCTACTTGCATTTACCGCCAAGTCTCTCTAGATTAATAGAACAAAGGAAAAGGAGGATGGAAAGGGGGACATTAACGAGTTGGAAATACACAAAAGGAGGGACATTCATCAACATATTGCGAGACATGCAGCAATACTTTTACTTTACGGCGATAAGCGATACTACTCTGTCAATGTTTTACGTATGCAGCTAGCAATTTTAATTACACTCTATCACAATTTAATTAAACATTTCTAAATATCGAAAATACTCTATTACGAGAATACATTTTGTTTTACTCACTATATATATTTTATTTTTATATTTAACACTATATTAATCAATCCTACGATATTAATCGCACAATTATTCTCTATGCTACGTCATAGATATGATAGATATCACACGTGCACACTTAATTAATTAAATACTGTAGTGAGAAAGTAGAAGACTCAGAAATAGAAGTTGTTGCGACTACGATCTTATTATGAGAGATTTACGGTGCGTTTTGATACGTTCATTACGCGTTCCATTGCTAAAATTATGTGAGTGTCTTAATGCTTATAAGAAACCACTAGTCTGTACCTAAGCAGCGATTCTTCGGCGATAATAGTTTCGTTTATCGATTTTTGAGGTGCTACTCCTCAAACGAAGTCCCATCGCGGCTAACCGCGATTAGTTGCGATGTGGCATCGATTGTCTTAAACACTACACATACACACATAGTGTATATATAATAATGTAACATACATTTTTTACGAGTTATATCTATTTTAATCTGTTAATTATTAATAGAAAATTTTTGTAATATATTTTGACGATATTTATAAAAATAATATTCCTTTTGCAATAAAAACAAGAAAGTTATTTTAAATAGATTAAATAACACATTCAATAATTATTACAATATTAATACACGATTATAAAGAATGCGATTTTATATGATTTTGTTATAACACATTGATGAATTTTCATTAATGTACAGAGATTCAATCGACATGCTAAATTTAATGTTGTATTTAGTGTTATATTCTTTGACTAATTTATGTGTTTTTTAGTATTTATTGGTTTGATTAGCATACAAAGTATCGAACCATTTAAGTTTTATAATTACCGGGAATATCACTTGATCTTTGCGACGTAGCTTTTATGCCAAAAGTGAACGCTGCTGTTGCTTTGCGGTAGAGATTCACGATTTCAGCGCGATAGTCACTCGGTGCTACGATCGAGATGCAATAATATTTCATGTTTCGATAAATAATTAGTGTGGCGTGATACGACGTAAGTGGTGTCTCGATTGTGTATTTATTTATATAAAGAATTTTCGTACAATATTTATTGCAGTGGTCTGTATTTAATATAGATATGTGAAATTATTGTATTTTACATTTTGAATATATAAAGCGACAAAATTATTTTATTAAAAATGAATTAACTTGTGTAAACTCTATATAAAATAGATATATATGATTGGGGATGAATGCACCATATTTTTCGCGCACTTTTACAATCGCGTGCCAAACGATTTTTAGAATTTCCCTCTATTCTATGGGAAAATCATCGAAATCTTATATTATTTAAATTTCGACTTACCTGGTGTACAACTGATTTTCTCAATTTGCGTCTTAACGCCAAAGGAATATTTCGGCGAACTGTCCAGAATTATCTTTTGAGCCTTTTGCGGATTGTAATCGCCCGGTGCCGGTGTAATTTCCGGTTTCGCTGATTTATTTCGACCGTGCAGCGACAAGGAGGGTGCGGCATCCTTTCCTAAAAGATTTTCCACGTATTATTATGTTTTTTCTAATTTGAATATATTTCAAACACATAATTAATAATTATTAAATAATTAATTACATATTTAATAATTGTTAATTAACTAATCAATGATATAATTGATAATTATTAATTAATGACAAGTTTTCTATTAAATATTATAAATATTGCAATTTTTATAAAAATACTTTTCATATACAAATACAAAAAAAAGACTCAAGATTAAAATATATTTTCATTCTTTAATTGCAAGAATTAAAAAGTTTAAATACGATGATGCAAAAGCTCATGTAAAAATACAAACAAAATATTTATTTGATAATTTAAAGTATGTATTTTATTTAAATCAGGTCGATCTTGTAAAGTTGTATGTGCATTGATCGCGTGTTAGAAGTTCCGGTTCTATTCAAGTACAAAGTGAAGGAATTTCGTGAACATTTGCCATTAAAATGTATCATTCTTCTGTAATATTGGGTTTGGAGTTTGGTCGATACTCTCTCTTCGGCCGACGCATAGCGGAACAAGTTCACGAAGCAGATATAATGGCGCATTATAACTCATCAACTCGCTCAACATCTTATCATTATTATCGCATTCTGTTTCGTACTTCATCGAAAAAAATAATAATTGTCGCCTACATATTACTTATTTCAAATCTAAATATTCTGGTTCAATATTTTAAATTAATTTATTATATCGAGAAGAATTTGTATCTAATTTCTCATATTTTAAATGCTTTAATTAAAATTTCATAAACGCGAATGTATTTTATTTATGCGGTGTATCTTACCTTTTGCACTAAGTCCAGAAACATTATATTGTCCAGGGCCAGGTCCAGGACTGTTGTTCTTCAAAGAGTGTCTAAAAAATTTTTAGTGACGTTAATGGCTTGTGCATAAAATTTTACAAGATTTGAATAAATACATAAATATAAAATAATTGAAAAAAATCTATCAAAAGATTAAATTTAAATGATTAGTTCTTTTTACCTGCTACCAAAGGAAAATGCTGGTGCCCTTTCTCGTTTAGAATCTGGAACTGTTTTTCCTGTAAACGTTATATAATTTTTCACATTGTATACAATAATATAACTGCATATTATTACAGAAAATATTACAAAAAGTGTTTGCGTAATAACTAACTTAAACGAGAGAGACGCCAAAAAAGAAGAAATATCGCAAGACGATATTATTACGGTGTCATTAATTATAAAGTTCCGCATGCAGCTCGAATATCATAAATGCGTAATGATCGAAATGCAATCGTGCGAATCACGGTTGTACGCGATATGTTAATTAATACGTAAGTTCGCAGTCGCAACCGCGAAAGCGTCGCCGATGAGTCAATTCTTATGAATTATCAGATTTCTAGCCATTGTTTTTCGACCAAAAATATTTAATAAATCGTCGCAAATTTCTTGCGCAGATAATGAACTTAATTATTAAATTTTAATAATTCTTAAGATGCTGCAATGCTCTTTAATGCATTTTATGATCACTTATTGATGTCTAATGGCACAATTTTTTGCGAGAAGTGAACGTAGTCTTTACCGATTAGTGGCGGTAAAGTTACACAGGCTGGCCCTGGGCTGCTATATTCGGCGGCAATTGGACCTCGCCTTTTCGTGGGTGTCCAAGGTCTCTGTGTCATTCCAACCATATTGCTCAGAGGGTGTTCCCTTCTTTACAATCCTTAAAAATTTATAATATAATGAGAGACATCTGTTCTACACAACATTGTGGACTTTATAAATCTTATAAAATGTAATTTATATTAATACATAATAATATACGCACATATAATAAAATTATAAAATACATTAATTTGATAGATTTGTGTGTGATCAGACTTTTAGAATCAAGTCACAGATTTAAATCACAGGCAACATGAAATTAAAGGAACATATTCGAATAATTTAAATGTCTTGCAATGCGAGTGTTTCAAAGTTTTCAATTTCTCCAAAAAACATTCTTGAGAAGTGAATAGTTTTCTCTGTTTCGCATGGCAAGATATTTAAATTGTGGCCTATATTAAAACGCGCATCCCTTTCTTTTTTTCGCGAGACCGCGAAACTTCATGGACAAATCGCGAGATTCTCTCCGGTAAACAACGAAATGCGTGTTGAACGAGACGTCCATGAATTATGCAATGGAGGTCGACCTCGAAGTCGAGGGGGGCATGATACAGAAACGATTCATGGCGAACCATATAAGAGCATGTCCGTGATGGGCAGAGACACGACGATACTCGCCCACCACCCGAGGTCCATCAAAAGTGCCCAAATGCACGGTAGCTGGATGCTGCTGCTGCTGCTGATGATGATGATGATGATGATAAGGATGACTCATGACCCACTTGCCTTGCGGAGCAGCGCGGTAATGCGTTGATCACCGGTGCATAAAGTGCACTGTACTTTCTAGTAGAATTTCCAGAGAGATGTTCCAGACAAATTACAATTTTATAGTAATTTATATCAAGTTTCTAAAATTTGTAGTACTTTCTCCTTTTCTTTAAAGTGTCTTTAAATTGTCTTTTTTGCCTTCACCATGCCTTCATAATATAACTTTTCACGCAATTTTAGGTTCAAGAGATCCTATATATTTCTCGAGAATTTTGTATAACTTATTTATATAATTTTTATTTACTATCATCTTAAAATGGAAAAAGCTTTTTTATTTCACGAAAAATAATAAAATATTTGATGCTTAAAATGAAGCAATATTTTTTTAGACGCATATAACAACGTTAATATTTGATATTAGATCATATCTCGATTTCACGCATAATCAATGAAAAAGTCCGGAAAACATCAGGAGTTTAATAAGCGTCACCCACGACGTGCAAAATGTTTTATAATGATTGATTCTGAATGATTACCGTTTATGGCAGAGATGATCAAGTGCGTTACTCACTTATGCCGAATTTCTTACATCATCGCTCACAGTATTTTAATAAAAACGAAAGAAGTAAAAAAAAACCTCGACGCAAAGTGTGCAATGGAAAAAAATTACATAAAATAAAAAAAAATGAAATATTACAAATTAATTTGCGTTACATTTTTTTATATAAGATTTATATCTCGAAGTTATTCTTATTTTGAAAAAAAATCTTTAGAAGCATGTATCTTTTTTAGCTAGTAATTGCTATCATTAATCACTAATCGAACTGGTGCCATGATGACGCGGAAATCTTTATAGGGGAGGGATTAATAACGTGTGAGCGACATTATATTCGTCTCTTTTTCATTCGCGCATCATATACTATATATATCTAAATGACATCACGTTAGGTATATATATATATCTACGGCAAAAACGCTATGTGTCAAATACATTCGCCGTATATCCATATCGAGTTGACACATGGTATATGTATATCAATACACACATGGCATTTCATTAGCCAAATACGGGAATGAAAGTGGAGTGGCAAATCCGATACATAAGAGTACACGAGAGTACAAACATACTGTGACGTCGCCAAAATTGGAGGGAGAGGTTGAGAAACATTCGCGATAAAAAATGCGAATCTCTTACAAAGTATGCGACTCTCTTGAAGAGAGAGATTTCGCGTATTTTTTCTCCGCTCTTATCGTGTTATCTTTTTGATTAAAAAAATATTTATGTATTTTATTAATAAATTCTCTCATTGTAATAACAAATTTTAAATGCCAAAATTTTATGAAATGACGTATATTTAAGAGCCTACAATTCATATAGTCAACAGATTGATGTATTCATAGACATTGCCCGCTAATATTGACATTAATATGTATACATATATTCACGAAATTTCAAGGATATTCTTACAAGTTTTTGTAATATTTTATTCGGAATATTATGATAAATGACAGAAAGATGTGAGAGAGCAATAAAAATAGTAGATGATAAATCAGATATTACAACTCAATTTCTACAATAAACGTTCTAACTTAATTTCATTACAATAAATAAGATTTATATCGATAATTTTATTTGTGAAAAGAAGCAAAAAATCTCTTTATAGATACATATACTGAAATAATATATGAAAAAAATGACGTTGAAAATTGTTATTATTATCCTCGTTATAATTTTAATAAATCGCTGTTGCTCGTAGCAAAATAGAAATTGTAATAATACATCATAAATATACAATTGCAATAATACACAGACATCACCCCGTTGACAGTAACACAATATTTAATAAATCTCAAGGATATTCTATTACGTTACCGAAAAAGAGATAATAAGTATATAATATTTTTTTAATTGCTAGTTATTAATAATTCGAAGATGGTTTATTTAATCCTAACATAAGATACAGATATTAATATGTAATAATGTATTATTACATATTAATATCTGTATCTTATGTTAGGATTAAATAAACCATCTTCGAATTATTAATAACTAGCAATTAAAAAAATATTATATACTTATTATCTCTTTTTCGGTAACGTAATAGAATATCCTTGAGATTTATTACATATTGTGTTACTGTCAACGGGGTGATGTCTGTGAAAACATTGATTAACTATGAAATATGTAGACTATTTTTTAAAAATACGTTCATTCATTCATTTTAGCATAAAATTTATTAAAATGAGAGCTTATTAATAAAATACTTTTCTAATAAATTATACGTTATTAGTGAATATATTAACTATTATTATTCTCAATATTGATTTAAAAACTTATTATTGGAGCAAAAAATTTCTGGCATATGTGTTTTTCTATTTAAAATTCATGATGTTCAAACTTTTGCGTTATCAATCAATGAGTATTTAAATATTGCTTGTTAATTAAAAATTTAATTGAAATAGTACATATTTCTTTGATGATATATTCATAAGTCTACAGAGAACATTGCTCCCTGATATTCTAGATATAAGACGTTAATTATCAACTGCAATTAATGTTACTATTATTTTTACAAATTTATTCAAAGTATGCGCATATGAAGTATCTAATTTTGCGCTCTGATATATCTTTTTATGTCATCGATTGTGCGTTAACATTAATTCTCTACGATCTTCGCAGTCATTCCGCAACTTTCGCGCAAAGTTGTAAATGTATATTTATGTTACCTTCAATCTTGCAATTAGAGTGCAGAATTTACTTACTCGGATATCAATAAAAAATCTGCAAATAAGACGAGATGTGTCGGCAAGGGCCGAAAACAGCCGATTGTCTTATCAGCGAGAGAATGATTTCGCTGTCTCGATCGCCGCTGATTGGGTGAGACCTGCCTTTGACACCTGGTACCAAACACTTCGTTGTACACCTGAGACGCGTCGATCTGCGACTGATTGTGAGCAAGTAAACGTCAAGGTATCGCAGCATGTTTCCTGGAATCCACGTTCCCCACCTTTCGCGGTTTTCGCAGGGAGTCCGACTGGGAGAATCTGAAACGCAAGCGCCTGAGGATAGATTGCCTCGCGTGCAAAGACGAAGTGCATGTACATTCGCGTAGATTTCGATCTACGAAGGAGATAGGGCTGGATTAATTCTATAAGAAAAAATTTGAAATACATATTAAAAAAACATGCTTATATGATCTTCAGTAAAGCTAAGTAATAATTGTAAATATAATTCAAATTTGATATGCTTTTCTCTGCATTTTTAATATCTTCAAATAATTATGAAATTAATAGCACAATAATTTTCATACTAATTGAAGAATAAATTGAAATCTAAAATAGAAATTTTTTATTTCTTGATTCATTTTTTAGTGGCTTCAATTTATCCTAATTAAATGTAAAATTTGATGTATTAATTAAAATTAAAGCTTGAACTTCTCGGAAATTTCACAAATATATTATAGATTCATAGATATAATAAATTTTTTTCGCCAATAAATACTTACTCTTATCTTTCAATGTATCAATCTAACAAGAATGTATTTTTTTAATGCGCATTCTCAACTAATTTTCTCTTTATTATAATATTTGTCATCATGGTTCAGTTAACAGATACTCGTCAGTAGAAAAAAAAGCCGGTCAGCAGATAGCAAAGAGAATAAGTAATTTTTATCTTATCGCAATTTATCTTTCTACAACTTACGGGATTTTAACTGTTGTATTCATTATGGCGTAAGATCCTAATTTTAGCCGATCTTTTTCTCACATTGGCCCAGGTATATCGTAAAGTTGACAGAGCCGAGGATGGAGATTGGGAATTGGAGAGTGCGTGGGTTGTGAAATCGTGTATGTCCGATAATGGAAGCAAGAGGACAATGCCATCTTATATTTAAGCAGCCAAATCTGGATGTCACGTGCCGTTATTCTGGAAATAATAAATAAAAAAACTAAAATTTGAGCCATTCTTTTCAGAATAAATACAGGATATCTTTTACTCGGAGAAGAGTTCGAAGTTATTTTCTTAATTTTTTAACAATAAAACAATATCTAAAATATTTAAAAAAATTAAGTTAAAATTGCCACTTATTCTTCAATTTCTAATCACTTGTAATTGAAGAATTATTATTGCTTCAATATGAAGAAAATATCCTTTATATTACAAAACTCGACTCTACTGATCAAGCAATATCATTAAATTTAAAATACGAAATTCTTAAACATTTTGTATAAAAGTAATTATTCCAATATTTTGCAATGTACTAACTGAACTTAGAAAAAAGTAATAAATAGCTATATGTGTTTTATCAATGATCCATAACGATAATGAAATTTCGCAATTATACAAAATTTTCATCTTCTATCACGTGTTAATAACTTGTTTTCTAAGATCCACGAGATTGAAGGATATTCTCTTTCTAAGAAAACCGGTTATAAGAACCATCATATTTCTATGCTACGTTAAAAGAGACACTGCTACAAAGCCGAGAGCGTGTTGGACATTTGATCGCTCCTCTCCTTCTCCCTCCTCGTCGTTGACGTCGCAAAGCGAGCGGGTCTGGTCAGCAGAGTCGCGGGGCTCGATGGGTCTAGATGTTGGAGCACGAAGGATGTCCACTTATACGCATTATTAATCGCAGGTGCGCCAGTTTATTAATCCACTGCGTGTGTGATGTGTTCGCGCCGATGCGTTGCGAGGTACAAACGCATGATGATGTGCATACAGTCGCAAGTGTAGGGTGTTCTCTTTCGGAGAGGATCCACAATTCTAAGTAATTCTCCTCCGTAAAAGGAGAATGCCAGATTGCTCTCTTCCATCGTGCAGCCTCCCAATGTGCGACTTTTGAACGGTTTCTTCTGTGTTAAATTGTGTATATAACGAATTGAAAGGAAGAGAAGAAATCTGAAACAGGTTCGTGAATGTCGTTTGTGAAAAAAATAATAGATGTTGCACAGGGTGTTTTGGTTAATCGATTTTAAATTAATCTGTGTAAATCGAAATTATTAATAATTATTATAAAATATTTAACATGACAATTGATGATAGAAGTTATCTGAAGAATTATGTTGAAAGCAATATCTATAATATTAGTCATCGCTCTTACTGTAATCCCTCTCCACCTGTTGCATTCTTAAACTTTACAGTAGCTATTAATAGAATGAGAGAAATTTAATAAATAATTATATAATTTATATATATTGATATATATAAATTATTATTAATTAAAATAATATATAAATAATATATATTAAACAATTTATAAATATAAATATTAATCACTTTAATACTTTATAATATTGACAAATAAAATACGTAAATGAATATTTGAAGAAAATATTTGAAAAATTCTGAAGCTAATCTCTCTTCGGATTCTTGAACGAATGTTTGCATTTTTCTGAATTCTTATCTTGCTGTTTTTTTTTCAAACATCGTCGAGCAAAGAATTATTCTGTCGACGATATTCTGCGCTCACGTTTCGAACTTAATTAATTCTAAACGACAGGAAGCGCTCATCCGGACAATGCCTTTTATCGCGAAACAAATTCAGTGACCCGATCGCATTTTGTTTGAAAATCCGATCGGATCTATTGTTGAGTGATAAGTGAAAAATGTCGGTGGAGCGAGAGCTTTTGTACGCTACTGAAATAATACGGATGAAATACTTAATTGGCACTCTAATAAATCGTGACGATGAGATCACGATCAGCGCCGTCATATACGGTTCTACACCCACACACGAAACTAGACTATACTTTGCAAGTGTAATGCAACACGCATATACGCATACAGACGACAATGTGTCATTTTTTGTCCCTACATCTGTATCTGTCTGATATGTTTTATACACATGTTTCCAGACAGAAACGACGAGCGGAAGCTCGTCTGAAGAAAAAGCGGTCCACTTCTTTTTTTTAGTACAGCGACGTTAACAAACAAATAATAACAATAATTACTTTCTTACATTTACCTCCAAGGAATTTAATCTAATTACATAAATGATTTTTTTTGCAAACTGTTTCTGCATATTTTTTTATTTGCACTACTAACTAAAAAAAATAATTAATTTTAAATTAATAAAATTTTAATGTAGTTTTTAAAAAATGTTTAACTGAAAAATATGTTTATTTCAAATTTTTTTCATATATAGAAATTAATCAAAATAAGTTGCATTTTATATATTTTTATATTTAAGATTTTTGTCTAAAAATGCGTGTGTGTGTGTGCGTAATTATATTATTAAATTTCTCTTTTTCTAATTATAATATTAAAATTTTTTAAATTAAAAATTTTTTTTCTACAATACTTATAAAGTTTGGAATATTCTCAAATACTATTTAATTTCAAATCTGATACAAATCCTTTTTAAGATAATAAATAATTTTATTTTCGATTTATTTGCAAAGGATTAATTAAAATTTTCCCTTTCAAAATAATCGATTCAATATTCTAAATTTAATTATAATCATTGGATACCTTAGGAAACATGGATTTGGAAGAGGATTCGCTGCAGGAACATCTGCTGAACGTTTACGATACTTCCTCGACCAACAGTCAAGTTCTTTACAAACTCCTGCTGGACGCTCTACGATCCAGGGATTTTCGTTCCTTCAGAAATACTGTGGAGCATAACTTGAGGAAGCAGCCACCCGCTATAAACGTCAACTATGTCCATCCCAATCATTCGGAAGAGACGTGTCTTGACATTGCCAGTAGAAATGGTCTGACGGAGTTCGTAGAGTTTCTACTGTGTAATGGAGCGAATCCTAATAGAGTGAACGAGGCGCACAATCGCGCTCCCATTCATTTCGCCACCGAAGGCGGACACGTGGACACTCTGGCAGCTCTGTTGGCGGAACCGACGATAAATCCGAATCTCGAGGCGGGACAGCAGACCGCTCTGCACATTGCGGTAAGGAAGAAGGATCTCGCATGTGCCGATCTGCTGTTGGAAAGAGGCGCCAGCGTCAATATTCCCAATAATAAAGGCCTGACGGCCCTTCACCTGGCGGCAATGAAAACACAGCGTGATATGGTAGAGCTGATACTAAACAAGTGCCGACAGTGTCCGGATCTGGACAGTTACAAGGACTACAATCATCAGACAACGCGAGAGGTGCTTCAACAAAAGTTACCGAGATTGTTGTTGCCGCCCAGATCCGAAAACCGAGAGACGAACGCGCACGATCTTAAGTATTACCTGATTGCCAATGATCAGACGAACTTTTTGAGGAGCCTGGAGTTCGTCAAGACGGAGGTTCTTCACAGTGTGGCCGAAGACTTGCTGGAGATGGCCGTGCAACGTGATTTTCAAGAGGTCGTGGTGGGAATTCTGGAAAAACTGAAGGGGAGTCTCTTCAGCGTGAAGAAAGCTGCGCGCGTGGCTGTTGAACAGGGTAATCACGCTATACTTCAGGAATTGCTGAACGTGGAGCCTGAAGTGGCCAACAATCTGATTTTGGATGCCTGTCTGGAGCTGGGAATGCCAAGGAAACGAGGAGTCGACGACAGGTCGGATCGGTTGCAGTGTCTGAGATTAATCCTGAAACAGGAAAACGTGGATGTTCGTTGCACTGACAGTGAGTAGATCATGAACAGCACATTCTAGATACAATATAGATAGTTTAAAAATATCTAAGTGATCTATTTCAATATACTTTTACTCTCTCTGAAAATCTTATACGTAAATTCTCACTATAAATGTCTCTTACTTTACAGATAAAGGCAACACGCCACTGCATTATGCGGCTAGGGCAGGTTGTCGCGAAGCGGTGACTCTTCTTCTCGAGCGGGGCAGTTACATCGGTCACATGAATAAGTTCAACGTACCGCCTCTCGCCGACATCCCGGTGTGTACGTTGTCGCGTTACTTTGACAACTGTCTGCAGACGCGGAAGGAGCGGACGAACGAGTACACTATCGAGTTCAATTATCGCTGCCTGATGCCGCACGATGTTCTCGGGGAACACGATAAGAATCGTCGGGCAGTTTCCGAGTTGGAAGTGTTCAAGTACATCGGTTGCAACGGCGCTCTCAAACACTTGCTCAAGCACCCGCTGCTCTCGTCCTTCCTCTTCCTCAAGTGGCATAGAATACGGCACATCTTGTACATGAATTTTGCCTTCTACGTGATCTTCTACTTCTTGTTAAACGCTTACATTCTCATGAGCACGACTTATAACAGTTCTGCGAACAAAAACGAAACGCAGACGGTCAACAGCTCGAAAGACGCTCTCGGGAGTATTTTGCGAATCGCCGGGTACCAGAATAACCTCCTGTGGGCCTTCACCGCCATGCTGTTTCTGCTCTTCATCTTCCGGGAGATCCTCCAGTTCATCTCCTGTCCTTGGCGCTATCTGAAGAACTTGGGCAATTGGCTGGAAGCTGCGTTGATCGTGCTGACTTTCGCCGTGCTGTGCGGCGCAGGGCCCCAGATCAGCGCCATAGTAATCCTCCTGTCCGCGTGGGAATTGGTGATCCTGATCAGTCAGCATCCGCGCATGACCACCGGCATCGAGATGTTCCGCACAGTCTCCTTCAATTTCGCGCGCTTCCTCTTCCCGTACGCGTTCCTCATCCTCGCGTTCGCCCTGGCCTTTTACACGCTCTTCAAGGACGGCGACGACACGAGCTTCCCCGATCCCGGTCGCTCGCTCTTCAAGACCTTCATCATGCTCACCGGCGAGTTCGACGCGAACGACATCCCGTTCGTCTCGCATCCCGTTTGGAGCCACATCGTATTCGTGTTGTTCGTCTTCCTCATCGCCATCGTGCTGTTCAATCTGCTGAATGGTTTGGCGGTCAGCGACACTGCCGAGATCCTGTGCAAGGCCGAACTGGTCGGACTCATCTCCAGGATACGTCTGGTCGCCTACATCGAGGACGTGGCGGTCGGCAAAACGTGCAGGCAGTGTTTCTGCTGCAGCGAAAAGTCGTCCTCGATGCGATGGAATCCGTTCGGCTTTCTCGCCAGGAGGATTCTTTTGTTTCCGCATTACCTGAGAGACGGCAGGATTAACGTCAAGCCGTACGACTACCTGGACGTGTACAGCAACGACAGACACTGCGAGAGGTACATTCGCAGCGAGTCCGTGAATCGTGATAAACGTTGGTCCACCTTGAAGATGGATCCTAATATAATCAAACAGGCTAAACGAATTATCTCCGAGAAAAATCAGTTGTCGGACAACGAGAGGATAATAATCGCGTTGAATAAACTACAGGAGAAACTGGCGAGGATGGAAGTCGCTTTGGATACCGTGAAGCTCGCAGTTGAGAATAATAATGTAGACAATACGATGAAATCTATGGAGAGTTAATAAGCGAATGATCCATGTTTTTCCTTAATTCTGTATCCTTTAAAAAAAGAAAGATTTTATTTTATGAGTTACTCGCTTTGTGCGGTTTATTTTCTTTTACATAACGTTGAACATTGTAATACATTGTTAAGTATGTCAAATTTTATTATTAAATTTTATTACAGATGTTGACTTACCTAAACTGCGTGTATATGTGCCATTATTATAATCGTAATCGAGGTAGAACTTATACCTAAATATTACACAATGCGCATATATATATATATATATATATATATATATATATATATATATATATTGTTGCACGTTTTATAACAAACATTTTATCAGTACTTTGCAGAATTGCTCTTTAATCATTTGTACTTTTGTAAGCAAATTTTTAACAACTTACAATATGAGATTTTTAGCGATATTTATAATATGAGATTATCAATTGTTATTACTTTTAAATATAACTCTGATGACAAAAAGATACAGTGTAGTTTTTTCTGTGAAAATTTATCTTATCTCCATCCTGTATGTGCAAATATAAGTGTGTAAATAAGCGTTGGAAAATAAATATTCTCAAGATTTACTACTAAATTATTGTCGTAGATCTCTACATATTTATGAATAAATCAGTCTGGACGGAGATAATGTATTACTAACCAGATACATCCTGCTGTGTGACAGTTTTTTCTCTCCCTCGTCGTACCAGAATGTCGGTGTAGAACATATTGAAGTCAAGCCTAATACATAAACATCGTTATTAAAAAGCGAAGAGATGTGTAAAAATTATATATATTCAGTGAGAATTAATATACAGAATAATTTATCCACGAAATATACATAAATGACAGCTATGTTTAATATAACATTTGGATGTAAACTCGTCATACAACATATTGAAAAGTAATAATAAACTAATAAGAACAGATTAATGATAGATAACACAATTTTGTTTTATTCTAATATCTTCATATTATATTTCTTTTCTTGTATCACATAAAGTGTATTTAAATCATCTTTAAATTATATTACTTTCAAATTTTCTAAAATAGAATTTACTTATTTCACACAATGTGAAATCAAAAGAAATTCTTATTAATTTATTAATTGAATTAAACGTTTAATTGAATGTTTCTTATTAATTTATTAGGTGAATTAATTGAACGTTTAAGAATTATTACTGTTCGTATTTTGAAAAAAACATCTTATATAAAAATGATTTCAATTTTTATAATACATGCAACATGCTACAGCAATTTGTATCTTTATTAAAAATAATTTTTCTGATTTATTCTAAAGGAATAAGTTTTACTTAAAAATATATTAATAGAAGACTTACCGACATAACACATTAAGTAGCTTCTCATTGTTGTTATCGCAGCCCAAATCGCAGATTCGGTCTAGAAGGCATGTCAATACTTTAGTGAATCTTTCATCTAGCGATGCAATTGTTTCCTCGAAGCTTCCTGTTCCATCTTTCGCTGTAGAAACATTATCGATCTAGCATAAAAGATGCGATCCATTAGTGTATTAGTATAAATATGTACATGTACACATTGCATAAACAAAGCAATTTCTGAGATGTAATATAAATACATGATATAAATTTTTACTTAATTGACAATAGTATGATAATATGCTGATATGATGACTATTAGTATGAACTATTCGTGCTTTTATACAAAAGATTACAAAAATATAATTATTTTCTTATCAATTATTCCTAATAAAAAAAAGTAAATGAAATACAATATAAATTAATGACAAACTTATTAAGTTTCGAAAAGATGCGTCTTCAAAATCAAAATTAAACATATGCATAAATAAAATTTAAAATTTCTACGCACACATATAGATATTCCTTTTCTCTCTATCTCTCTCTCTCTCTCTACATTTCTTAAATACTCACTCTAGTTCAAGATAAAAAGAAAAAAATTGTCTATTCTATAAATTAAGAAATACAATAGAATTACAATTTATCTAGTCATATACCATGTTCTTAATAGAAAAGATAATAAAAATATATTGTACTTTTTTATCAACCCTAAATCTACAAAAATCTAAAACATTTCTAAACAATCTTTATAATACCCCAACTTTTATCAAGTTAAAATAGCAAATATATATATAATATATACAAAGAAAAATATATAATGCATAGCATATGCAATTATATGTATATATATATATATATATGTGTATATATATATATATACATACACATACATACATACATACATACATATGGTATACATAATTACACTACTTTATTCTATAAATTTTCATACTTACTTCATCTTCAAACATCTTTCAGAGATGCATATATAATTTATTAACAAACATTATTTAATCATTTATCCTCTCTTAGTGAGGATTTAAAAAAATAATTAATACAGTCTTATACAGAGATGTATGGAAATGTTTAACTTTTTTGTATAGGTATTGAAAACATTTTATATGCAATATAATGCGATATAACAAGAGTGCTCACTAAACATTATTCCTCAGAGCATCTCTATATATATATTTCAGAGGTGTTTATATTTATAGAATTTCAATCTTCATGCAAATTGGGGATGAGGATGCACGACAGTCGCATGTTCTTAACGATACAATAGTGATTACTAAAAGATGCCTCCTTTGCAATAAAAAAATAATGTTTCTAGGACTACAAAGATGCATGAGAGCGAGCTTAAAGCTTTGAAAGTATACCTCATATTCATAGGCATCTTCCTGACAGGCACCAATCATGGATGTCAATTCGGCATCAATGTAGTAGCGGCTCATACGCTTAACATTAGCAAAATATAATTTAATAGATCAAAGTCTCCTTTTATATATCATTATTTTCTTTCCCATTACGTTTTATCGTCGTTTTATTTTATTGAATATTAATAATTTGAATTTTTAGAATTTTGTAAAACAAGTATCGTAATTAAAGATTTAGTCAATTTTCGATTAAGAAAAATAAATATAAATTGCTAATATATATTCTCGCACGAGGGAAAGAACATGAGACCTACTTGGATATTTATTAGTATGTATTTGGAAATATTATATATATATTATGTAATAAACAATAAAGCGCTGTAATGGATCAATTAAAACAATGATTGCAACTTAGAAGAAGAGATCATTGGATGTAAATTCATGCAACATATTGTTAGACAGGAACACATAAGTTCGTGAAAGTAAGACTTACCTGCATAAAATTGCAGAATTCTACGCAGATTGCGCATATACCGGTAATGCAACCGAGAAGATCCGGATCCGTTAACATACACTCCTTCAGGTAACTGTCTTGCAAATCTTGATGCACGCTCAATACGTCATCGACGTTACTGACCTGATTTTAATTATATAAATTGTGTAAAGACATTAAAAAACAATACCATGTATATATATTTTAAATAACAATAAAATATAAATCATTACCTTGTTCATCTTATTTATAAATTTCAACCAATTTGGTTCCACGACTTCCACCATCATATAATACTCTAAATGCTGTATACAATCAAGCATTCTTTGCCGTAATGAGAATGCCTGTCTGTAAGCTATGGCTACTTCATGCGTGAAAGTCTTCGCTATTTTATTGCTAATCCATACCCTGTGAGCCAACAAATTTTTAAAAATTATTACACAAACATAAAGTCCACATAATAATTAAAACAAAATAGTTTACCTGCATAATAATCTCTCAACATGTTTACAATAAAATAAATGCCTAAACAACATTTGATAACAAGCTATGGCCTTCCTATTAATAATCAGAGAAACTGGCCATTTTACATCATAATTGAAGACAAAAGCTTCCAAACCAGTCAAAATTTTACCTGCTTGGAAACAATATTCTGCAAGAGAAATTAATGTATTGTCACTCATTTTCAACTCATGTTTTATTTAATCAAATATAATTGTATAAGTATGATATTTGTTTATAGACTTACCTTTTTCATCTCTGGTTTGGATGGAGAGTATTCTAAACATTTGATATTGTAGATCATATGGAAGTAATTCCGGTTTCAGATCGTCTTTATAAGGATCTGAGTCTGCAGTGGACATTCGTAAAGCAACTTCGAGAAGAGATGCTAATCGATGTAGAACGATATCATACATACTCTTGTTCAACTCGGTTTCACACAGATTCATAAATTGAACCTTTAATTTAATGCAAAAATTAAATTTTTTTTATACTTATATAAGAAAAATAATAAAAGCAATTTAAATAAAAAATAACTTTAATATTTCATATTTAATAACTGACAGTTGAACTCACCACAAAATCTCCTTGTGCAAGAAGAAAGTAATTTTTTACACTGCGTAGCCTTCCCATCAGATCATTCTCCTTCATGAGTACTTCTAATAATTTTCTGGCAGCTTCTGAATATGCCCTATCAATAGCAGCTATATATTTTTGTCCTTGATATTGATAACTTAAAGGTTCTTGTTTTCCCCACTGCACTGTTTTACCTGTAAATTCATATTTTTTGATTTTGTAAAATAATTGCTTAAAAATAATTCTATATATTTATATATATGTGTGTGTGTGTGTAATATGCTTTAAATATATAACCATACATTAAATATATAATAAATATATTTAAATATTATTTGTGTTATTAAAAAACTTACCACACTGTCTGATCACATTGAAATATTTTCCAGTTCTAAGTATAGTTTGTGCATGTTCACTTAAAAATACAGGTATCCTTTCTGGTCGCATGGTATATCTCTTCTCCCAGTAATCCGCAGAATAATCTAAAGGAAGTTCTTCCTTTTGAACCAATTCATTATCTTCTACAAAAAACTGAAAAATATACAATATTACTAATGTGCCACTTAAAATATGTAACACATAAGAATAGATTTATGATACTAACTTCTTGATATGGATCACATATCACTCCTTTGTAAACCCATTTTTCTAATATTTGCATATATGGCATGCTCGCTGCTTGTATTAGATATAGGCACAGTTCTTTAGACTTTGGTTCACCGCTGACATTATTCAATGTTTGCTCGTGAAGGAGACTTAGTACTTTTCCTCCTCTGGCATTTGCCTAGAATTAACCAACATTGTATGTTGTATCTTATCTTTAATGTTTTAATTTATAGAAAAAAATAATTTGAATTTTCTATGCATATATTTACAAAATAAATTATAATTATTTTATATTCTAACATTACTTTGTAACTAACCTTACAGATTGTGGATGTAATCTGAGATAGTATAGACATAGTAAGCATAGTAGGCTGAATGTAAAACCATAGCTTTTGCAAGCTTAATTTACCATGAATGTGCTCTGTTTCAAGTTGTACGACAAAGAGCTGAAACAGAGCAAGTTTAAAATATCAGTATATTTACAATAATTTACATATTAAACTAAACAAGAAATATAAATATTATACCAGACATGCATTTGTTTAAAAAACTAATTTGCTATACCAAATAATCTTTCAGCAATGATCGTATAGCTCCTCTCAGAGCATGATTGACTTGTCCATCGTCTGGTGAGACTTTTTCCTCAACAAATCTCACTGTCATGGAATAATGAGATGCTAAAGGTAGTATCTGTTGCGCTAACTGTTTAAATGATATACCTGAAAATAAAAAAGATAGAATTTAATTTAATCTTTTTTAATTAAAAACTGCATATTAAAATTTTTAATGCATTCCTCACCAACATCAGGTGATATATTGAAGGTTTTAACACCATAAGGACTTGTTAAAGGTTCTGAAATTATATATGATCCATCGATTCCTTTTAAGCAATACAAAATATCCCACAGAAGTATAGACTCCTGAGATACAATTGGTACAACCTCTGTAATTATTTAAAACATAAAAATTTATGTCAAACATGCATATTTTATTATAATTTCTTATATTTTGCAAAAAAATATTTATTTACTTTGATAAAGTGTTACAGCAACATCACTGTGAAAATCCCAAGTTATACGTGGACGCTCTGCTACCCAATTATGTTTTGTTACATTGTCATTTTTCCAATTGACTGAACATACTTGCTGATTTAATTTCTTTCCTCCTTCCACAGCAGCTTTAATTACAGTTTTGCAAATCTATCAAATATTTAAATAAATTATATATATTATATTGACATAAAATATATAAAAAATAAAACAAATTTTAGCTTACATTTAAATTATATATTTTTATTTTTAAATAGATATTAAAGTTTATATATTTTAAAAATATTGTATTAATATATTATTACCTTTGGCAAATCTTCTTGTGTGATGGTTGGATCTTTTAAAGAATCAATTGTTGATCTTGGTGCAGATTTTGATAGGTACCTCTTTAATTCCTCATCTTGAGATATTAACTCCAAAGTCTGCACAAACAGACCTAATAAATCTACTCTGAAAAAATATATCTTTTATTATGTGTCTGCACAAATGACAAAATATATAATAACTTGAATCATATTGATTCCACGAACTTTTTGGATTTTAATTCCTCATACTTCTGCAGAAACAATTCTGGTTGGGGTGAAATTTTTGCTAGATGCTGTATGCAACTATGAGGAGCAACAGTGTTTAGTGCATTTGTCGTTACGCATTCTTTCTGCAGCTTCTCTAAATGTCCCTCAGGAGCAGATTCCGAGCTACAAAAGATAATATTTACACATGAAAGCATTTGTACACAATATTTTCCATATAAAAATATGTATATTCAAATGTATTCCTAAATCTTATAAATAATGTTATAAATTAATTTTATACAAATTATGAAACGTGTCCATTGTCGCTTACCCCAACAAATCAATCAGTTGCACGATTAAATGATGTAATTTAAATTCACTCATTGTTTCTCAGGATGCATAATTTTTATATGTATTTTGGAAAAAAGAGGACCCAGTTTCGGCGCCGCTCGTCCTCGTATTCGCATATGCATAAACTAAAATTAGTCACATGACAAAGAGTGGAAACATCATATTGATACTATGAGCGCCCTCTTCCTTCACATTTAAAAGATAAATGGCGGAAATTTAAATTCAATTTGAAATACATTTAACAGTGATATAACTTTGTATTAAAAATTATATCACAAAAATTAGAACAAAATTATAATTATACAAAAGATAATTGTAATCAGATATTTAATTCTAAACAAATTTTTTCATAATAACTTATTTTTATCGAATAAAATCAAAATTTCAAAAAATGTTTAACAAGAGATAACTTATTAATAAATATTGGATTTGTCTAACCAATATTACAATTAATTTAAGTTTAAAATATTTTGATATAATAAATTATTAAGAACATATTAAATTATGATAATAAATTTTCATCTCTTTCAGGTGGTGTCAAATACATCTCGCAATAAACTAATTGATCAATTTCTTCAACAATTCTAGTTTCTATAACATGTTCAGTATTTCTGGGCGTTATAAATTGATCATTTTTCTGCGAAGTCATATAGGACAGAAGCTGATTAGTATTACATCTGAAAATAATGTATCAACCAAACATTTTACTGCAGTAACTCATTAGAGTATATTTGTCTAATATGTCTAAATATACCTTATCAACTCTGTATTGTTCGTATTCACTGTATTCAAAACAACAGTTGAAGTAGTAGTAACTTTTGGACTAGATATCATTGAGCACTTGGAAGTGCTAACAGAAGTAACATTTTCAGACTGTTGTACTTTTTGTGGAATTGTGCACAAAACTTCATTCTCATCCACAGATTTTTTAAACCGTTTCATTAGATTCTGATCTTCATCGCTAAATACACATTTCTTTTTCCTTGATAAATAAGATTGGCTTTGCAAATTTCTTACACTATAATTTTCTTTGTTCCGCCTATTTGTATAACAAGATATTAATATACATTCGAATACAGTACAAAGTACAATAACTAATGCAAATAATATAGATTATTAATTAGCTTTACATTGTATGGTTCTTGTCAATAATTTCTTTCATATTTTTGATGAATTGTTCATCATCATCTGTGTCTTCCGCAAGTGAAATGTTAGGCTGAGTTTGTGTTAAATTATTTCTTTGTATGGAGGATGAACTTACTTCTCCTGCATACAGTGTTTCAATGTTATAAAATAATAATAAATGTATATATAAAAAAAGACTATATTAACTGTAATACTTTACCTTTTAAAGGAACAGAAATATTTCTATAATCAATAATATTATCACTAATTTTATTATTTTCCGTAGACTGAGCTGTTCCACACTGCAAATTGTTATTTTTGCTGGGTTGTAGAATCAGTAGGTTTTTATTTAACGATAGTTTGTCATGGATTCTTTTATCCATTATTGAACAACAATAATTATGCTTGAATAAAGTTAATAACTGTAGTAATTTCTTCTATCCACTTTTTAGCATTTAAAAATTCCTCTGTTGTAATAATAATTACATATTATGCAACATAAAATATTTTTATATTTTTCATATTAAAAGAAATTATTTTCAGCCCTTACATTTAAAAACTTGACAAACGTTTATTTATTTAAAATACTCAGGATTGGGTTAAGTTAAATTTGTAAAATCTCTGAATACCACACTATTATTGTTTTTTATAAGTTATAAATGTATTGTTTTTAATTGAAGTATTATTCATTTTTATGTTCATTTGTCATCAATCGTAATGAACAAAAATATATTTCTATACAAAAATCAAAATATCTTTGTTATTTGTTATTATAAAATGTTTTTAAAAATTAACTTTTGATTTAACTTCAGTTAATTTAATCTCAACTTTAACTGAGTTAATTACTTTTTGTTTATGCAACTTTCAACTTAATTATAAATTAATTTTATAAGCAACTAACTTTTTTTATATAAAAATCATTTACCTTATCCAACCCTGGATATATATACTACATATAAAATTATATTATATTAGAAAAACGTCAAGTATATAATAATTATACCGTGTATCTTTCCTTTTTTCTTATTCCGTCAAGGAAATATTTACGTATCAACTTGAGCGTTTCATATTAAAATTTTAATTGCAAAAAAACGTACGTTTTCAAATTACATGGAGCATCATCAGTTCCAGCGAAAAGAGAGCAACAAAGTACATCTAAAAAGAGACAGATGTCAGTTTATGCTGGGTCACGAAGGCATGTGAAATCGCAGTTGTATATTTCGTAAGATTACGTTGTAACCTCTTTTTTTATCGTCGATTTTGGCGTAAACCGGATAGAAGGATTTATGAGAATCTGCGACGAGGAACCATGCGACTCGTGACAGCGGTGAACGTGAAACTGCTGCCGATCCTCCGGCAACAGACGATCGCGCGCCCCTTCTGCAAAACTCGCTTTCCCTTGGATCTCCGGGCGACCCCGTCGCCGGCCTGCGTCAGGTTAACACGGACGGACCATCTAGGGGGAAGACTGTTGAGGAATGCACGTGGACGTAGTATTCATCCCGCGGTGGTGTCGGTGAGATTCTTCGCCACGAAAAGGTACTCTGATCGAGTTCCTCCGAGGTAATTTTTTTTTTTTTTATTTTCTTTAATTTCTATATTCTATTTTGTTGATTTATATTTTAACTTTGATCTCTCTTAATCCGAAGAATTTTATTTTAGTCGAGCTTTCTTCTGTTTAACTTCCTTCAGCTATAATTTAAAAGTTATATATTTATGTATTGTTCACATTTATATTTCTTTTTAATTTTCTATATCGAGATTTTTATTATATTTCTGCATTATTGTAAGTATATTATGAATATTTATAATGTGATAAATGATAAAATAGTTAATAGCTATGATTGTATGTTAGTTTTGTGAGAATCTTGTTTCTCGTTTCATGTATCGTCATTCAGCGATGGTAATGGAGACCAACCTGGAGATTATTCCGCTTCTCTGCCTGCAACTGTGGTGGTACCTGAAGTTTGGCCTTATGTACCAGTCATTGCTATCAATAGAAATCCAGTGTTTCCTAGATTTATCAAGCTTATCGAAATTAGCAATCCAATTTTGATTGATCTAATAAGAAGAAAAATAAAGTTGAATCAGCCTTATGTGGGAGTCTTTTTAAAGAAGACTGAAGAGTAAGTTCTTTTAAATGTATTTGATATAAATTTATAAATGGAGTCAAAAGCAATAACATTATAAATGACACAGAAACTAAGAGTATAAGTTTTAACTTGACAATTGTATAATATAGAAACGAAGCTGAAATTGTTGAAAACCTAGATGACATTTATCCCATTGGAACATTTGCACAAGTGCATGAGGTACAGGATTTGGGAAATCGATTAAGACTAGTGATCATGGCACATAGAAGAATCAAGATTGTTAATCAGATTTTTGATGATCCAACTCCAAAGTCAGAACATAGTAAGAAAAATATTTAAGTAAAAAATTTTTTGCGTTTTTTTTTTAGCTACAATGAATATTTTATATAGAAATTTAATGTCTCATATTATATAATTTATTATTATATAATATATTAAATAGATAAAAATGAGCCTTTTGCTTGCAACTGGTGTGGTAACACTTTGTTTCTTTCGGTATTCTGTTAAAATATTGCCCTACGTACTTTACACAGAGATGAAACTGACGTTCCCACTATTAAATACTACAATTACCGTCCCTGTAGACGACACAATAAACAGCGGCAAGATAAGTCGGAGATCATTGCGCAAGAAGGTAGAGAATAGAAATGCAGAGAAAATAGAAAAAGTCGATGAAGTAGATGCCCATTCTACGGAAGTAAAACCACCGATAGATTCCTCTGAAAAAAGTACAGAAAAACCATCATCACCGCCTCAATCTGGTAGTCAACCTATATTAATGGTGGAAGTTGTGAATGTCACACACGAAAAATTTAAACAAACTGAAGAAATTAAGGTAATATTATAAATGATATCGAAAATATTGACAACGGAATTAATATAGTTTCTATCTTTTTTCTTAATAATACCAAAAGTAAATTATTAAATTAATTATAGAATTGAAACAAAATTAAAACAAAATTGATTTTATAAATACTATGAAGTATCATTAAAAATTCAAAAAATGAATCAATTTTACTATAATGTATTAGGATATTAATGAATTTAAATTATTTAAAAAACATTTCTTTTTGCATCTATTAAAAGTTGCAAAAATGTTTTATAATATTTTCTACTATTTTACTTTTTATTTTGTATATGAATTTAATATCTCGAATCAAATAGAATAATTAAAAATTGGTATATCTCACAAGAATAATTATTTCATTCAATTCCATCTTTTCGTCTCCACGTATTTCTTCTATTATTTTTTTATTATTACTCTTTTGTCTTGCATTTTTGCAAACAGACTATGTTATTATTTTCAAATTTTTTTATATTATTTAATGATGTTGCATACGCACACACAATATTATAAATACTTTTTTAAACAGGCTTTGACGCAAGAACTCATTAAGACGATTCGCGATATAATTAGTATGAATCCTTTATATCGCGAAGCATTGCAGCAAATGTTGCATCAAGGGCAAAAAGTTGTGGACAATCCAGTTTATCTTAGTGATTTGGGTGCTGCCTTAACCGGAGCAGATGCACAGGAGTTACAACAAGTCTTAGAAGAAATGGATGTAAGTATTGCTACTATTGTTACACAGTGTGTGAAATTTTCATTTTGAATATTGGAATGATTTTTATTTATAGATTTTAAAAAGATTGAGACTGTCTCTCGCACTTCTAAAAAAAGAATATGAATTAAGCAAACTACAGCAGAAAATCGGGAAAGAAGTTGAGGAGAAAGTAAAACAACAACATAGAAAGTATATTCTTCATGAGCAATTAAAAGTTATCAAGAAAGAACTAGGGCTGGAAAAGGATGACAAAGATGCGATAGAAGAGAAGTACAGGGAACGAATAAGACAAAAGACAGTTCCTAAACCAGTGATGGATGTGCTTGAAGAAGAATTGAATAAATTATCTTTCTTAGAAAGTCATAGCAGTGAATTCAAGTATGTGTTAAATTTAAATAATTAAGCATTTATAGTCGTATAATAAAAAAGTATGCTGTATACATATGCTTTATTAAAATTTATGCAAGCTTAAAATATATAAATTAAATAATATATGTAATTATATAAAAAAAATATAAAATTATAAATAAATTTTGTATTTTTTCAGTGTTACGAGAAATTATCTAGACTGGCTTACATCCATGCCATGGGGTGTGACTAGTACAGAGAATTTAAATCTTCAAGATGCCATCAAAATTTTGGACGAAGATCACTATGGAATGGAAGATATAAAAAAAAGAATTCTTGAATTCATCGCTGTTAGTCAACTAAAAGGCAGCACACAAGGAAAGATATTATGTTTCTATGGACCTCCTGGAGTCGGCAAAACCTCTATAGCTAAATCGATTTCTCGCGCTTTAAACAGAGAATACTTTAGGTTTAGCGTCGGCGGAATGACGGATGTGGCGGAGATTAAAGGACACAGGAGAACATATGTGGGAGCGATGCCAGGCAAAGTTATTCAATGCTTGAAAAAGACTAAAACTGAAAATCCATTAATTCTAATAGATGAAGTCGACAAGATTGGCAAGTATGTAAATATTTAATGTATGGAACTAAAAGTCTGAAAGATATATTTAGAAAACATGTAAAGTAGAATGTTTTTTTAAAACTTGCGTTATTTTTTTAGGGGACATCAAGGGGATCCAGCATCAGCTCTTCTCGAGATGCTTGATCCTGAACAAAATGCAAACTTCTTGGACCACTATTTAGACGTTCCAGTGGATTTATCAAAAGTCTTATTTATCTGCACGGCCAATATAATAGATACTATCCCAGAACCCCTGAGAGATCGCATGGAAATGATAGACATGTCGGGTTACGTTGCCGAAGAGAAGCTTGCCATCGCGAAACAGTACTTAGTTCCACAGGCTAGAATCGAATGCGGTCTCAACAACGATCAAATCAACATACAAGACAATGCGCTCACGGCACTGATCAAATCTTACTGTCGAGAATCGGGTGTGCGAAACCTGCAGAAACACATAGAGAAGGTGCACAGAAAAGTGGCGTTTAAGGTAGTCAAGAAGGAGGCCGACAAAGTCGACGTCACCGCGCACAACCTGCATGAGTTCGTCGGGAAGCCTGTATTCACCCAAGATAGGATGTACGACGTCACGCCTGCTGGTGTAGTAATGGGACTGGCGTGGACTGCCATGGGTGGATCCACTCTGTTCATCGAGAGTACTGTTAGAAAACCAACGGGTGGCAAAAAGGCCGAGGGTACTTTTGAAGTCACCGGCCACCTCGGCGATGTGATGAAGGAGTCTATACATATAGCGATGACCGTTGCGAGGAATTATCTGAAACGAGAGGAGCCCTCCAATACTTTCCTCTACGATTCCCATTTGCACATACATGTACCCGAAGGTGCTACTCCAAAGGATGGACCTAGTGCAGGGGTGACAATCGCCACGGCTTTGCTCTCCCTAGCTAAAAGTCAACCTATCAGGCAGAATGTAGCAATGACAGGCGAGCTGAGTCTCATGGGCAAGGTACTACCTGTCGGTGGCATCAAGGAGAAAATTATTGCGGTAAAAATATAAATATAATCTTATTAATTCTAATTTATTGCTATTCGATTCAATTTCAATCAATTATTATAATATTATGATATAAATATTAATGATGGAATATAACAATACAACATAATGCAATGCTCACTACGTAATTTTAGTTCCATACATAATTTTTATATATTGTATTGTTATACTGTAAATATAATTTAGGGTATAAAATTAATAAAATACACTTTGGTTTTTAGGCAAAGCGCGTCGATGTTAAATGCATAATTTTACCTGAGGAAAATAAGAAAGATTTCAACGACTTACCTAAGTATATCACAGATGGTCTAGAAGTGCATTTTGCTACAACGTTCGACGATGTTTACCGTATATGTTTCGCACAAACGCATGAAACCGATTCCTTTCAATCTACAAAACCAATTAGTACTGATGTTTCATCTACACAATCAGTATTTGGTTAAATATACAGTATGTGCAAAAGAGTATGCTATTGACAAAATTGCTGTATGCAATTATATTTGTTTTTTGTGTAGAGTATAATTTTACAAAAAAAAATTCATTATATTCTAAAAAAGACAAAAAATAGACTTTGGGACAGAATAGGTATGAGAGTAGATAGTCTTTGTGATATTAAAAGCATAATCTTTTGAACGCATTTCATAAAAATAAAAAAAAATTATTATTTGTGTAATTCTTATTGTTAGAGAGAGGATAATAAGAGTGTATTTGGATACAGTCTACAAATGCTTTCTGTAAATAACGCAAATATTCCATGAGAGAAGAATAAGTAAATTCTAAAGATATAATTCCTTATATTTCTTTATAAATAATATGTGTATATAAATAAATATAAATTATATTAAAAGAACATTTATTTCCTTTTAGTGAGATAATTTAAAAGGAAGTTTCTTTTATATTATTTTGTAAGAATTTTATTAGTATAAAATTAATTAAAAATAATTTTAATATTATTTATTAATAATACACACATATATAAAGATATTATATCTTTACAGCACAAGTTTGTATTTCTGCTATTAAAAATTTATTTTTTTCTATCATGTACGATATCTATATATAATCATTAAAATATTTTTTACTTAAAAAAAGTATTATATATAAATATCAAACATAGTGATTTATTTATACTAAGTTGATGGCTGTAAATCTTAATATAGTAAATCTAATAATATGACAAAATATGAAATTTTATTGTATACAAAGGAGAGCTTGATTTAAATAAAGTATTTTATAATAAATCTTTTTACAACACATCTTTTCTCCTCAAAACTTAATAATATAAAGAATGATCATAAATGGTAATGACAAAACATAATAAATGCTTACTATGAGAGAAATGATGATAAATAAATAGGTGTTGTACAAGAAAAACAGAACTATATATCCATCTCAAGTTGGTATATCCATCTTGCTGAGCCTAATTATAAAGTCGCACAGCCTCATTTGGACTTGAATCTCCATAGGATTGTTAGTCACATAAAATCCTGGTACTCCAGCCTTCTCCAGTATACCCTGTTGGTCCGCCACTTTTTGATCCAATTGCAACACCAATTTCATATCCAATTGCTTCAACTCCTCTTTGTGCTTCTTTTGAAGAGTCACTTTTATTGCTGGCAACTCTTCATCTGTCGTTGACAACAATACCTCTTGAGATTCAATCTTTTGTTGATTCAAAAGTTGAAGCCGTTGTTGGAAGAGATGCTTCTCAGTCACATGCTGTATTTCCATCAGTCCCTTCACTATTTCGAAGATGGTGTCGTTCAACAACGAGTTTGCCAAGCCGGACAGCAATTCATATGGCAGACGCATCTGATACTTTGGTGGGAGCTCTCCGGCCATGTGCTGCAACTGTTCCACTAGGAAGTAAAGTTTCCTCTGTAGATCTTGAGGAGTAGGACTAACAACGTCCATTTCCAAAGAAAGAGATGGCAAACTTATAATATAAATGTCCTATATTGTAACAATTATTGCATTTTCCTATTTTCTTTTTTTTTTTATAGATACAAATATTAAATGTCAATTGTAAACTTCCTTGTCGATGTACAATAGATTTGTTAGTATTCAATTTTTCAGCTCTCTTCTATAGAATTTTCTCTCGTCGATTCGTATAAATTAAATTGTGCAGAATGTTGTAATAAATGCCTGAAGCGTGGATTCTTCATTAAATCTACGTTGAAACTTTGTTTACATGTGTTTACTTTGTTTTCACATAATTAACTTCTGACATTTGATGAGTGTGATAATTCAGAAATTCAATTTTCGTCATTTATATAATTTTTTTACAGTAAAAATACAATCAAATCAAGTCTTTTATTTACGTTTGTATTGAATTTATATTAAAAAGCTGAGTAAAACCTCTCTAAATTCATGTTGACAAATTTAAATCATGGTCACTTTAGGGTGCGTTCGAAATTCTCCTCGTTGGGTGACATTTCATCGACCAATCAGAACAAAGGAAACTTCTTTCAATTTGTCCAATCGAACGCTGCAACTTCAACATGGTGGTACATCTTGAGACTTTATACCCCTAGGTGTTTTTGCTATTCCGCACTCTTCGTGAAGTTGACGAGAACCGGAGTAAAAATGTTTGCGATCCGCAACAGTTTGACAAGCACGTCCCGTTTATCGGGCGTCATCGTCAGGTCGTATCACAATTCGATCGTTTCCACACCACCCAGGGTGAAAATCTCGGCACCTGTGAGTATAATTTCTCTGGTAGATAAAATTACGTAAGATGAGACGAGAGGTCCGGGACTCTTAACTTCTTTTGTAAAATTGTACAAATATTTTCTACTTGTTAATGTTGAAAATGTAAGATTTCGTCGAGCAAATCTTATAGAAAGACTTGTAATGTACGCAAATAAAATGTTACAAAATAGTTGATGATATTTTTGATATATAGAATTTCTTGTGTCATACATGTAAAGATTGTCTCGTTTACACATAGATAAATTTTCAAGCGAGTTTTGTATTAATGACGCTTCATGTTACAGGAAAAGATATTTTCGTTGCTCTGTATCGGCGCAGCAATATTGGGAACACCCATGTATATGGTACCTAATTTTAAGAACTATGCCAAGAAGAAGGAATAAAGATAAAGGAAACTAGATTGAAGCTTCGAACAGGTCATCTTAGCTTGAAAATTAATGGTATCAAAGTTATTATTTATGATATAATATCCAACGGTCATATACATTTATGGATCCATTGGAGGTGTAGATCTAGGTTGTTAATAAATATGTAAAAAGTGGAAATTTGTGCAATATTTATCGTTCCAAGAAAGATCATTCTTTATGCAATTTTCTTATAATACATTTTTTTATGTCAGATATTAAATTGAAAATTGATTAATATAAAACTTGTTGAAATAAAATATACAAATATTTTATCTTCCAAGTAATTAAATTGGTAATTATTCAAATTATTAAATCATTTTTATTGAAAAGAAATAGATTAGCTTTGTCAAAAAAGTTAAATAATTTAAACGAGAGAAGAGCTACGTATATGTATTTTAAATATAAATCTCAAATGATAATAAATAGAGCAATTTTCTAGAATAATTTATTAGAAGACGTATAAAGGATGATTGCCTCAATGTTTTATACATACCTTTTTTGCATAAGATTAGATAACAGCTTGATGACTGCTTTTATTTCGCTGAAAGTATATTTGCATCAATTTATTCTTGATTGAAATGCAGTCTGGAGTATTATGCATTTGTTTGTATACTCTCCATTTGTGTTTCAAACGCTTTACAAAAAAGTAAAGTAGCCAATAATTTTGCAAAAGGTAATTAATTTCATTTATCTACATCTTTCAATTATCATTTGTTGCTTTTTGACAATGGCAAAAATTATTTGATAAAAACAGGCAACATAATAAAAGTTGGAAAAAGATAAATATATTTGCTAATAAAAATTAGCGAATATTAGTGATTTTATATATACGTATGTATCTCAATATGTAAATATTGAGATATATGAAGTATATATGTATATTATAACGCTACTCCTCATAAAAAAATATTTGACAAAAAGTTATATTTTTCAGAGATTTTTCATGGCTAGAATATTATTTTTATTTCAGCCCACATTTTCGTTGATTGCGTGTAAGATCTCATTTTATTCAGTATATTCCGTGTTGTTGCATATTATCACAAATAATTGCCGCCTGCAAAAAATATCTGGATGTTACATGTTGAACGTAATTATTTCTCTATCTTGTAAGCTCTTACGAGAATCAATAGAATCATGACTAAAAGTATGTCAGGTGAATATTTCGATGATTCCATGAAAAGTACAGGAATATAAATTATGCATACTCGTTTTCTTTATAATACTACATAGCTTTATACATTTCTTTCAATCTTCGTATGTGAACATTGAGTAGGGACATATTGCGTGAATTCTGGCTGGTGTTTACGTTTACATTACAATTACACAAAGAATGTCGATTACATTCCTGACGCAGCGTCGCAGTATATAAATTTCTTCTTATTTTTTTGTCTCTTTTTTCTGTGTCTCTTTCAAATCAAACGTCACTTCGGTTCCTTTGTACCTCGCGTTCCTTAATCATAAGGTATACAAACTACCAGTAGAAGAGGGGGAAAAAATAAAGCTGATCCGTTTTTATAGGCGAAAGGTAGTATTCAAAATAGTAATTGTGTGAGATTTTTTTTCGTAGTTTCTTTCTATATATATATATATATATATGTATATATAAATGTGAATTGGTAAACTGCTTTTGTAAACTGTATAATCGTTACACGATATTGCATAAACCGCGTTTAAGCTGCAATTTTCTGCTCGTTGATATATCACGAATATGATGTGGCTTATATGCATTTTTATTATAGCCAACGAGTAGCGAAATATTTAAATACGCAGGACGTTCGGCAAATAGATGTTGGTGAGAGATATTTCCTGTTAAAAACTGGAACTGTCATCCCATTAATAAAATTCAATATTTCTCATTCAAAATTTAACATGCAATCATCATAAAACAAAAAATAATATATATTATGTTATATTATATGAATTTTATTAAGGATGATAATTAATGGGAATTATAAATATATATAAAATCCCATTATCTCTGACTAGTTAACAATTAGAAAAAAGATATTATACACTGCAAATAAATAACTTTTATTCTTCAGTTAATTTTAGGTAGTTTTAATAGAAATTTCTGAGACATCAAACATATTATCGAGGTGCTAAATTTAAAAATAAAAAATTGCGTAAATTTATTCAGTAAAAAAAAACTCTTCATACATATTTTGTTTTTCACAAGAAATATTATTTTCATGATATACATCTATCACCGAATGTTTTACACACGATTAATAGCATTATGCTGCGTTTATATCCCGTATTTGATATAATTTGCTTGTGTTTACAAGCGAAATTTGATATTTCTCAAGTCCTCATATACTGAAAAAATCCTGCTCTCTTTCTCTTCGTCGTTATTGATCAATAATTTTACGATAAAATAAAAAGAAATTGATTTAATAATTTCGCGCGAGACCACGATAAAAAATATCTGTGGGCGATAACTGGATTATATAGATTCGTATTTATAATTTATACACGTGAAAATGATTGATAAGAAATTATGGTTGAAAATTTTTCGAAAGTATATTGAAGTGAAAAAAAATCATATATTTTTACTACCTATGTAAATAATATATATCCGTAAAACAAAATTTCGGATCGCTATATATGTAATTCGAGATGTAGTTTTATGTTTATGTGGGGATCTTGTCAATTTTTAATGAACAATCCTGAAATGTAAAGAAAAACAGCTGATTTATAATATCATTGTTGGTACTCTTTCGCTTTTACAACAATGAGGAATTTGTTTAATGAGGAGTAAACTGAATTTTTTTTAGAGAATAGAGGAATTTTCTGTTTAAGGGAGGGATATTCTTATAGATTAAAATTTTGATATGACGTACATAGAATAAGTATAATTTTTTTGCAGATTTATGCGCGCGATATTAAGAATACCATTTTTTTAAATTATTTGTAGACTTTCGATATCTCTCGTTTGAACAACGGAGATTCAACCGTATATTCTATAGCAGAGTGAGTATCGCGAATTGATCTCTATATGTATAATTTATCACGACGCGGTGACTCGATCGATCATCGTTTTAAATTGTTAACTGCAAAAGTATAACATAATTATTGGCTATTTGAGATCATATATATATTTGTAAGATATATCTCTCTACGGAACGTATTAATAATTAATACGAGGCTAACAATACGTATATATATATGTATATATATATATGTTTTTTAAATCAACGACCACATGATGTATTATTTGTGTTTCAACTCACTTTTATATTTAATAACGCCCTTACACGAGAAATATCGTCAATCTTCGTCATTACGCGTGTTTCTCACACCCTTTTCCGGACTCTCAAGGAAATATTAATTTTGATTATATTAAAAAAAAGTATCTTTGATCTCGTGGTTTTAATGATATCTTTTTAGAAATTATAATAAATTGCGATCCTCTTCTCTTTACGTCCAACATGTGAAAGTGACACCGCAGTGGAAAGAGTTACAAGATAAATTTATTACAGAGCCTTTATGTTTGTAACAATAATTCGAAATTAATTTCACGATAAAATGGATGGTAAATGCGAAATTGGAAAGTCCAAAAATGGCCTTTCTTTTCCTTCCTTCCCTTTCGGATCTTCTTCTTACAGAGACATTTCGTCCTCTCGTCGTGTATTATGAATTCGACATGAACGATAGCCTATTTTATAATCTCGGACGCGTCTTTAATAGCACGTGAAATGAATACAATGCAACTGATCTTTAAGAATACTTTTTAACTCTTCATTACATCTTTTTTTAATAGTACATTCACGATAGGACTAATAGAGTCTTCTTCATATTCTCCGCGCATCTCACCTCACAACATATCGGATGCGATGTGCAGCTTTTGCTCTCTCTTCTCTCACTCTCTCTTTCACACTCTCTCTTTCTCTCTTTTTTTCGCGAATCTTAAAATCTTACGAACTAAACAATTTGTTTCCCTATATAAACAGCATTTTATAGATAATCTACAACTTACAATCTTATAATAAAAAATATGAATCGTGGGGAGTGGGACGGGAGCAAAAAAAAAGAGTAATGACGTTTCTTTTTTTCTTAAGGTGTGTTCGCTTAAAGATAACACTCTATATATATATACGTGGATCCTTTCTTTAGAAGAAAGAAAAATAAAATAAAAACTGATGAGACCGCTAGAAGGCGAAGTAAAGAACAATGAGTAAGTTGTAATGAGTGCATCGTGCGAGCCATTCCCATAAACCTACAATATATACAATGTACTCGTCGTTAGACTTTCACCATACAGGATCGTTTCGATAGGAATAACATTATCCTCTGCTGCGATAAGTGTGTACTTTGATTTTTCAAAATAGGACGCGAAGAAACGTTCGTAGCGGCCAAACTTTCTAAGGAGTCTTTATAAAAATATCATTCAATTATGTGTTGCACAATATATAAATTATATATAGTATGAAGTTATTTTTCTCTTTGATTTCAATACATTTTACATGAAATTTAATCTATTTTTACATAATGATTTCTGTGTCTTTTAGAGAGTTTTTAGTCATTTTTGTTTCGACCAGACTATTGTCGTTTTGAAGAAAATAGGGGACAAATTTGTTAAGAAATTTGATTACTATTTCTTCTACTATAATTTTTGAAATTCTAAAAAATGTGCTTAAAAAAAAACGTAAAGACAAAAGATCTTCGCAGCAAGGTTTACAAAATATATCGTTGTCGTTACTTTATCTTCTCATTTGAATGATTGATATCTCGTCGAGAACAAAAACAACATTATTGCCAATTCGCATGTACAATTTAACGACTGTAAAAAAGAATCAATCGTTGCAAAAAGAGTTTCTGTCTTAAAAGAAGAAACTATCGTTCTTAATATGGTTTTGAAAAAAATTATTAAATAAATAGTAAGAGAGATGCCATACTCGAATATTCATGATAATTACATATTTGCAAATTCGATACAGTAATTTTGCGGAAAAAAATTGTTTTCTTTTTTATCGCAGTCGTACAAACTAGACACACATTTTTTCGTTTGTGTAAAACGAGATAAATTCACGCCCCTTTTCTGCAAGCGGTCGATTTATTCGACCCGATTGATTCAGTGACAATGTATCAACAACGTTAAGCTCGATTGCGGCGACATCGACGTCAGAATTAATCCCGGTCTTGATTAAATTTTCCCTCCAAATTATAGATAGAATCCCATAATCCGTAGAGAAAGGGACGGCCCGAAGGGCAGGCTAGGGATTAGCTAAATTTCCATTCAGACTTACTGTCGACGCAATTCGACCCGCAGTATTGATATGTTCCGATTGACAGAGCGCATTTTCTCCCTTCATCGTTTCACGCCAAAATGTCGTCGTTGCATTTTAATTTCGCCGAACAATCTTGTCTCGTTGATCTCCCGCGTAAAAAAGGGGGAAAAAAAAACAGAAAAATACAAGCAAAAATACTTTGCGCGTTAAAAGCCGATCGCAGCAGGGGAGAAGTAATAGAAAGGGATGAAGGAAGAGGAGAGAAGGAAAAAGTAGGACGAGGGAAGAGAAAAGAATTGCGGTATGGCACAGGTTTATGAGTCAGGCAGGTACTAATAACGATTTCGAAATATACAAACATGGTCGCTTCGCGTTTTCACTTCGCGAATATATATATATATATATATATATATATATATATATATATATATATATAAATAATGTGTAACGTTGTGTGTATGTACGTGTATATAAGAAATAAATTAAACATAGCTCGCGCTTGTGTTGATCGCACAAATTTCTGGCTTCTTCCTCCCCTTCTTCTTCTCTTCTCGCGAATTTAACTACAGTAAGAACATTGCATTATATATATATACACAGGATTATGCATTTCGTAAGAGTTACAGTACGATTACGGGTAGTATGTTAGAGAGAGTATGTTAGGTAGTTTTGTGTGTTTTAGAGAGAGTTACTCGCGCCTCTTCTCATTTGCGCGTCGTACATGTGTGCACGTGTCTCTGTGTGTACGTGTGTATGTGTGTGTGTGTGTGTAATTAATACGTAGAGAATCGCCTACAACGTATTCGTCGTAACGGTTTGATTGGATCTAACTACGATCGATACTCGAAATGGGTACGTAAATTCATAGCGTGGAATTATTTTTCTGGGTCTAACGAGAGCGACGTTCTAGGCCCGACAGATTCGCATGGACGGGTAACACGAAGAGGATGAGGGTTGTGGGACAAGAGAAGATGGAATAATAGAGAGAGGATCAAGGGGGATCGACGGGGGGGAGATGGGGGGAAGATTATATATAACAGGAAATATATTTGAGTTTTCATTTAATCGTAACTATTCATTATAGAGATCCAATGTCTTCTCTCGCTCTATCTTTCTTTCATTCTTTCTCTCTCTCGCTCCCTTTCTTGTCCAATAATCTTTTATTCCGGTATACTAAACTCTCAAAGTGGCGTCATATAATATTACTTCCTCTTTAAATTCATGATAATAAAGTTGTCTATTCGTATGAGAGCTTAACGTACGTCAACGTGTCTCATACCGTCGCGCGTGCACGTTGAGCACGTGCACACCAAAGTGCACACGCGAATTCGATAATAGTACGTATATATATATATATATATATATATATATATATATATATATATATGTATACGGGTTGTCGAGAGAGGAGAACGCTAACCCGCGCGTTTTTTCCTTCGATTTAAAAGCGATTTCCTTAATATCGCGACGCCATTTATCTCTTGGCGAATAAACTTTGAATTTGTCGTGTAAAGCTTTCTCGAAAATGCGAACAGAGATTGATAAGAAAGATACAATTGGATAACAAAAATATATGATAAAAGACCACTTGACATCACTCTGTATTCTTATCGAAAAATATGTCGGTCTTTCCAACTTTACCACAAATTTATGTACGTTTATGTAAAATTAAAGTACATGTATATATAATATATAATAATAATGATAATTTAAATACGTGATTTCAACTGCAATTTGTATACGTGTTTTAATGAAATAAATTCAAATAGAGATTTGATAATTTGAAACATTTTTTAAAACACGAAAGACAATGACTAGAGAAAAGGACATTGTTTATAAAACTTTTCCAAAGAAAATAAAGATTTTTGCGTCCTCTTCTTTCGACGCCTCGTATACGCAGAGAGCCTTTGGCCAATCGCACTTTCTGTTCCAATGATAAACATCGCGTGAACAGTTAATACGGAATGAGTTTTAAGAAAATATCGTAAATCCAACAGATATCCGTATCAGTCTTAACACATCTGTCATCTTTATCACGTCGAATAAAACTGACCGTAAAGTGACTTGTCCATTTCTCGCGCCTGAAAACGGTCAAATTTTCTAGCGCGACTCTTATCAGTTCCGCGGTTCCTCTCTACCATTGGCAGAAAGCGCGATTGACTAGGGACACCCTGTATATAAATATATACACACGTATATATATATCCATATATATATATATATATATATATATATATATATATATATACATGTATATATTCGATACCTGCATATCACAACATAAATTTTATTCTCTCTCGCTCTCGCATTCACTCGCTCCCTCGCTTTCTCCCTCATTTGAACGCGATACACTCATATTTACGCAAGCACGCACACACAATCCCGTCTCTACGTAATTATATTATATATTATAACGCTGCAGAGTACTGTGATAGTGGTTGAGTTTCTAAGCATTGTAGCGCCGTTTCCAGGGTGCGTCTCGGACGTATCCTTCGAGAACTGTCCGTAGCCCTTTTTGCAACTCGATCTCTCCCCCTGGAAATTCCCCGTCTTATCGTGCGCGCACGAGTTCCTTATACCTGGGCGAACAAAAACGATATTACGAGTATCCGCGGCAAATGTGCGCGATTGTTCGCCTTTTCTCTCGCGTTCCCTTTTTTGATCTTCGAGGCCGGTTGTACCGACACCGAGTGGTGTTAAGGTATATGATTAACTCGAATGATATTTGTAAAATGTTCAAGTGATGGCTTTTCATTTTTTTTTTATCCTAGAATCTAATTTTGCTTCTGAAAATATAATTGAAGGATAAAATTAATTAAATTAATTTAAATTTAGGTCGAGAACGTACAATCGAAACTTAAATTAATTGTATGTGTGTATGAAAAAGAGAGAGGGAGGAAGAAAGTGCGCTAATTAAAAGCTTACGATTAATAAAACCTTTTCTTTCTCTCTGTCTCTCTTTTTTGCGATTATAACTATAATGATAATCTAGGAAAAAGAATCGATATTCGTTGACCAAGCAACTTTAGTCAAGACTGTTAACTAAATTTACGATTATTTTCTCTGTTTCCTCGATATTACAGCTACTGCTATAATCTATATAGGAAAGGATAATGGGATAATCCCTAACCGAAATTTAATCAAGATTGCTAACTACATTTATGGTTATTTCATCTACATTACAACAATGTAAATTAGCAATGCAATGCGTGAAGAAACCTTCATGCAAAATTAGTTAACCAGCGCGGTTAAATTAAATTTATTTTTAGTTAACTCTCTAGTTAATCAAAATTTAATTAAGTGAATTAGCTAACTTTACGAGATTTCACTATTATATATGTATCTTCTCTCTTTCTTTCGACATGACAATCATCGTAAGGTAGACTGGAGGCGAAAAAAGGAGAAGAAAAGAGATGGAAAGAAGTTGATAGAAACTTAATTTAAGCCATTAAACGAAATCGATTATCGTTAATCAAATCCTTTTCAGGTCTGTCCGTATATCACAACAAAGGGCCATAACACGTCCGATCGTGCGTGACGTCGTTAGCCGAAGTTAGTAAACCACCGCTGTCGGCGCAACTCGGCCGGAGACCCTTCTTCACGGCAAACTCTTAACCGTCGTGCCAGCAACGATCCGTTCGCTCGCAACCGCTCTACCCTCTGCAGGGTAGCAACATCCGCCCTTCTTCGTCTTCTCCTCCTTTTCCGAGCGGAGGCTTTTTTCCTCGCGAGCGCGCATCGATCGAGCACGCATTATCGCTTACTAAACGAACCGAAATCCCCGATCGTGGCGCAACGACGAAGACGATGACGATGATGACGACGACTACGTCGTGCCGCATCCGCGCCAGGGAGCGGCACCGTTGCTACCCGCATCGCTTGCTCCTCATATCGCCTCGTTCAACGAGCACCGGGGCGATTATAATCTCTTTTCTTTCTTCTCTCTCTCTCTCTCCTCTTGTGCTACACTGCTCACGAGCTCAGCCACTAACGATTATACATCAGCATGAAATCTTAGAAACCATGGCTCAGCGCTCGGGTGAGCCCGCGCTCGCCCATGTCGCGCGCCCATCCGCGCGGAATCCGCACCAGCGACGTCGGCGACGACCACCGGGGGCGATCTAGAGTATACAGCAGGAAGCCGAGCAGCAACTACTTCCGCCGCCTTTACTTTTTTGTCTCTGATCTGGAACAGAATAGGTGAGATTCAGTCTCTTGTCTAGCGCCGATTCAGCATCGCGAGATTCAGGGTTCAGGTGAGGTGTGAAGGAATTTGGATGTATAAAACTGGAACATTTTTTATATGTAAAATGATATGCATCTAAATTAAAAAAAAAAAAAAAAATAACTCTCTCGACGACGAAAATGAAGAAATATTTACAGATTAAATGGGATCTTGAGAAGTCTTATAAGTATATTTTGCGACGAAATAAAATCAGTGGCATTCTTTTTCTTTTACATTTTATTTGTTTTTAGATCCAAACTTTTTCCGTGCATTGCACGCACGTTATTATATTTTAATATGATAAAATCGATATTAATATTATAAAATTGATATAATAATAATTATATGAAATTAATAATAAACTCAGTGAGATATTCTTTAAAATCCGTTTCTCTGTTAAATTTGTTTTATTTTTAGATTAACATTTTTTTAATGCTTTTTATACTTTTATTTTTTGATGCATTGCACGGGTTATTATAATATATATTTTAATACGGATATCATATTTTAACATCTAAAAGTTCTTTTATAGAATTTAATTGACTTAGTTACATTACAAAAAAAAAACAAGTGTATCAAATTTATTTTTTAATGCAATAATAATCCCATAAAGGAAACATCTGTTTTCCATTCTTCTGCAATATAAATTATAGCGTGCAATAATTTATTACGTATAAGATATCGCCAAATTTTTGAATACCACTCAGTCATCATCTTTCTGCCGGATCCCATTTAGCTGTCACATCGTTGCGGTGTCACTGAATCTGGTTTTGTACTCACTGCGGTTCGTGTTATATTTATTCGCTCTTATGGAAACTTGCGAGTAAGCGATAAGGATTAGGAAGACTCGCACGTTGGATTTAAGGATTAGGACGGTATCGTGTAAGGTTGAAGTCATAGTTTTCGGGATCGTCGGGCAGTACATACATAAACTCACCGCTAGGTAGAATACCTAAAAAAAAACCAAGGTAACAAACAAGAATGAATATTGACATTTTGAGTCCAGCGACCACAATATCAAAATAAAAATGAATCTGTAACGAAATTCGTACTGTTTTAAATCTAAGACGCTAAATAATGTATGGTAAGATAGATTTAGTCTGAAATGTACAAAATAAAATATCGCTTGAAATTAAACACGTTAAGGTTGATCACGAGAAGCGATTATCAGTTATATTAATTCAACGTGTAATCAATAGAAATACAAATATATCAATATGTGTATACGTGTGTAAATACAAATATTATTTAACTTATCTGTTAAATTACTTTTATTATTGAATCAAGTAACGGTAATATTTAATAATAAAATATACGACAAGAACAAAGTAGGGCAGAACTGTTCACTCATCTTCAATCATTTTTTCGTTCGGGAAAAATCTCTCTTTTTTTTTTTTTAAATTTTGCGTTGCAATTTATACGTGCTGACGCACAGGTGAAAAAGCGAATTTTGAAAGCAGGAAATTCCTGCTACGTGTTGCAAAGCATCGTTGGGAAGTTGCACAATGCGTCGCTCCTCGACGATTATCTTCTCCGTCGATCAAAGCTGATTATTAACTACCTGCTCGCGTTTACCGTCACATCGATTAATAATTAGCAGCGAGCGAGTCGCATGCGACATAAAGTTGATGTCGCGACGTAAAGAAGCAGGAAAAAATAAACACCGTTGAAAATTCCCTCGCATATATCAATTGAACGACACGCGTAAATACATATATAATTATTGTCGGATCGTTATTAAATTGGGCGGGAAAGCTCGCGAAAACGGAAATGCACGCGAACTCCGGAAACGGACGGGAGAAATTGCGAAGGGGAATGCAAATTGCGGAATGCGAATTTTACGCGAAATTATATAGAATTTACGGACGATAATGGCGAGGTTGCGCAATGAAAAATTGCCTGTTGACGATCACCGGAACGATATCGTTTGACGCGACGAATGATTCTGCGAGTAGATACGTGAACTTTCACCGATTGCACGGTGACCTGTATTAAATCGATGCATCCGCGAATCGTGTCGCTTAACTTATCAGTATGCACTTGTGCGGCGAGATAAATAAAAATGCCACAAAAAAGCGCGGAGAATATTTGAGGATGGATTTTGTGAAAATCGATTTTCAGCTAAAAACAATTTTAGCAATAGTGACTTTAATAAAAGAAGCCTCTTTCAAATCAAGCTGTAGAGGTGCAAATATTTGATGCCTATTTTTATAGTAATTTCAAGAATATAAATTGATTTATTAATGTATTTTAATTTATTAATTTATTAATATATTAATGAAATTAATTTATATTCTTGAAATTACTCTATAAAAATAGGCATTAAACATTTGCATCTCTACAGCTTGATTTGAAAGAGGCTTTTTTTATTAAAATCACTATTGCTAAAGTTGTTTTTAGCTGAAGATCGATATTATAATAAAGAAGTTAATAAAAAGTAATGACATGAACTTAAAATTCATTAATAAAAATGAATGAAATTATTCGATTGTTTGAAAATGAATATAATTTTAATTCTTTTAATATAATATATATTTTAATGAATTATTCATTTCGATGTTTCAGCTTAATATAATAATTTTTAAAACAGTTTGACATTTCGATTAAAATCTTGAAATTTGCGAAATTACGAAGAGAAAAAATATGTTTGAATGTTTATGTTAAAAGAGAATTCTGTCGGAAATCTCTTGCATTCTTAAAATATCCGAGCGTTCTTGAGCGTCCTGCATAAACTGCCATCAAATAGCGGCTAAATACAGCTAATCGATATAATTCCGTTATAATGAATACCGATGGAACGCGACATTTTCGCTGTAACGAAGTGTGATTGAATCTCTGCGTCTAATACGCGGCTTGATATAACGAACTTTCGGTATAACAAATTCAATTTCGAGATCCACGGCGGCAGTTCGTTGTAACGAGATTTTACCGTAATAATTACGCAAGCGCATCACGTACCGATATGTGATAGATTCAGTTTAGCCCGACGAATAAACAAATTTAAAGAACGATAACGAGCACAGAGATTTAGCATGATATTAATGAAAATGCGGCGAAAAGTGCGCAATGTGTTTTCACACAGGTTGCAGGGGAGAATGAACCCCCGAGACCAATTTCTTCCTCGAGAAAAATTGTGCTTTTCATAAAAATATGCACAATAATATATGCAAATGTACATATACATGTATATTTTTCACACCATTGAAAATAAAAAACAAGAATGATAAAAACAGGAATTTAATTTGGGAAACAACATGTTAATTTATTTTAATAACACGTTGCACCTTATTTACATTAATTCTTATATACCTAATTTTGTAAAATAATTTTTCTACGTTTTCACATTTTTGAAAAATTAACTTTTAATTATGATAATTGTTATAGTAATTTTTTTCCAAATAATTAAACTTTACAACCGGTCTAATAAAGATTAATAATGCCAAAAAAGGATCTTTCGTAATTCAGTTTTGCGCGCGTTATGGTGGTTTTGTAATTAATTTATTGCTTATGATTTTTGCGATGTAGTTTATTTCGAGAGGAGCTAAAAAAAAAAAAATAAATAAATAAAATAAAAAAGAAAATTACGCGTACTGTCTGCATGTTTTCACAACGAGGTTGAAGGAGAAGCAAGGGAAAAAAGCTCGCGATGTAGAAAGTTTCGCGACAGAGTCTCTTCGGAGGTATAAGAGGGTCGCATCTCGCGCACTCACCTTGAGAATTAGGCTCCGGAAGATTCTCCCGCGGCACCAGATGCATCACCGTGGTTTTTCCGAAGGGAAGCCCAAGAGCACCGAGCGTGACATTGCTGTGCAGGAAACGACCCTGGTAGATTAGCCGCAGGATCTCCGCCTTAGCGACCGCCTCCTCTGCCCAGTCTGCAACACGAAGGCAACATTTGCGGGATGCTGAGAGCTCTCTCTCTCGATTCTACGGCGCGCGAAAAAGTTTCCGAGAGAGTACCGAACCTCTCGAACCCCCTTAAAAAAGCGACGTAGCAGACGTGAGTGAGTTTGTGTGCGTTGGGAGAAAATACGAGACAAAGGGAGTAAACATTCCGGAAATCGAGTCAAGTTTTCTCCTCACTCTGTGTCTGCGCTCAGAACTTTATCATTCCACAATGTATAAATGTCATCATTTTTATGCTGCAATTTATTATATTATAATAATGAAAAATAATACTCTAATTTTTAGGATTTTTAACAGATTTCGTTTAGATTATTGTTATGCGAATATTTTTATTATAATTCTTAATATGTTCCATTTTTTTAAACTAATTAATTTTTGTTTCAAATTATTTCCCTATTTATCTAATTTCCCTGATTTCAAAAATTCTTGAATTTAGAGAGAGAGAGAGAGAGAAATATTCTAATTTTTAGGATTTTGACGTTTAAAATATTTGTTAAAAATTCACATTTCTTTGAATGCACTCTTAATATAAAATTGCTTTCATTTAAATTATTACACACTAATATTTTTATTATAATTTTTAATACGCTCCATTTTTTGAAAATTAATTAATTTTCTTTTGAGATATTTATCTAATTTCCCTGATTTCAAAAATTCTTGAGTTTAGAGAGAGAGACTTTAATGAACATGAAAAAAATATTCTAATTTTTAGGATTTTGACGTTTAAAATATTTGTTAAAAATTCACATTTCTTTGAATGTACTCTTAATATAAAATTGCTTTCATTTAAATTATTATAATTTTTAATACGCTCCATTTTTTGAAAATTAATTAATTTTCTTTTGAGATTATTTCTCTATTTATCTAATTTCCCTGATTTCAAAAATTCTTGAGTTTAGAGAGAGAGACTTTAATAAACATGAAAAAAATATTCTAATTTTTAGAATTTTGACATTTAAAATATTTGTTAAAAATGCACACTTATTTCAATGTACTCTTAATATAAAAATATTTTCATTATAATATTTAATACGGTCAATTTGTTTGAAAATGAATTATTTTTCATTCGAGATTATTTCTCTGTTCATCTAGTTTCTCTGATTTCAAAAATTCCTGAGTTTAGAGAGAGAGAACGAGAGACTTTAATGAACATGAATATTCAACGTGTTTCACAAATGATTTTGCAACTCTATTAACATGACGGCATATCGGTAATTAATGGTAATAATTGCGAGTAGATCACACGGGAGATGCTGTTGCTCTCTATAGCAATTATATCAACGTTAATAGAATGGATTGGCGCGGGCAAAGTTTCGAAATGATAATGACTAACTCACCATCCGGCCAATTTTCAAACACATGGTGCGCTATATCGCCCGCAGAATCGCTCGGACTGAATAGGAACTCTTTTGTCTTGCCACTGACGAGGATGAGGCGTAAATTTATCTGTAATGCATAAAAAATTCATCGTTAGAAGCTTATCAGATAGAAAGGATTTTTGTCTTTTTTTTTTCTTTTCATCCTTACAAATTGAAGAATTTTAATCCCAGAAAGGAATTAATTTGATCGAAACATATTAAAATAATTTTTTATTTTATTATTACATATATATATGTTATTGATAAACTTTCATGTTAGACAGATTACTTTTAATATATATTTTTATATATTTTTAAAATATATATATATAAAGAATTTTGTCATACATCTGAACACAAAACCCAAATTTATATAATGTATTATATATGTATAAACATATGACGCGTCCTCCATTTCGCCATTATAATAAGCATTATCCTAGCTTGAAAATATATTGCAAATTACAGTAAATTTAATGGCCTGACCATGTAAATTTTTTCAAGGAATTCATTTCATCGAAACATATTCAAAATATTTCTAAATTACATGGTAATTAAAATTAAAAAAGACATTCAAAAATATGCATATCATTTATGATATACAATTTTTATTATTTTATTATTACATATATATTATATTATTGATAAACTTTCATGTTAGACAGATTACTTTTAATATATATTTATTATAATATATATTTTTATATATTTTTAAAATATATATAAAGAATTTTGTCATACATCTGAACACAAAATCCAAATTTATATAATGTATTATATATGTATAAACATATGACGCGTCCTCCATTTCGCCATTATAATAAGCATTATTCTAGCTTGCAAATATATTGCAAATTACAGCAAATTTAATGGCCATTACGGTGGACATTACGACTAGGGAGGTCGAAAACGAGCGGTTCATCGACGGTGCACAAGCGATGCAGTCGCGGCATCGGCGAAATTACCGGCGACAATCGACCCCCACCTCTTTACGCGGACGAACGCGAATTCAATTAACGTGGGGTGCGAAGATCGGGCGACATAAATAATTAGCAGCTTGGCGGCGGCGACGACTAGGACGAAGCTGGACCCCAGAGGGCCCCGACCGACCGCTCGTGACCCTTTGCGGTCTTCGTGGTCGCGACAATCTGCTGTTAAAGCGTTAAATCATCGTTCCCAAGCGGCTCGCATTATCGCACCGCACGCGAGAGACTTCCCCTTGGCATTGCGGGAATTTTCGCGTCGCGAGGGCGAAAGGAAGAGAGAGAAGGGCACGTTTTGTAAAGTGTATGACGCGGGAATAATGCGGTATAATTGAGGAATAACGAGGAAACTACGCGGGATATCTCTATGTTTTCCCCAATTTTGACCAACAATTTTTTCCCCTTTTTTTTGAGATATTAAGTGAGATTAGCCTCCCTAATATATTACAATTAATTTTTTTTTATATGACTTATACATATAATTGCACTTTTTTATTTTTGTTTGTACATCCCTAGTAAAAAAATTATTCAAAAAAATTTTTGAGGAGAGCCAACTTCACATTAGTTCCCCCAATTTGTATAAAATCGTTTTATGAAGTGGATGACGAGGGAATAATGCGAATGAGCACGATATAATTAAGGTATAATGAGAAAAAATTTAATCAAAAAAATGTTGGGAGAAGCCCCTTCAATTATAATTGATTTTTCGTTTGCACATTTCAAAACAAGTAGACATTTCATTTGTACATTTCCAGAAAAAAGTTATTTAAAAATCATAAGCAAACAATATGCAATCGAATCATGTGAAAAAGGTTAATAAATTTTATAATATTGGGAACTAATTCATAAAACATTTTGGCTTTTTCAAACACCGAGTGAAAATGAATCGCAGGTTTTGTGAAGAATCATACGCGTTTTCATTGCGTTTTGTAACAAAAATGATCGTGTAAAAAATTGCAATCGAAATTCGAGAAATGAATAATCATTTATCGAGTATAATTTTTTTAGATTTTTTTACATTAAGTACATCAGCGACAACAATATTATATGAAGCTCCCAATTTTTTCCTAATTATTTATAATTAATCGAGTAAAAGGATTTTCTGTGATTTATTATGTATTGTTTTAATAAATATAATTTCTCTCTCATTCGCGAAATTATATTTTTCAAAAATTATTCTCGCGTCTGTAGATACAGAACAACCGGGCATAAAAGAGCCATAAAGTCTACACTTCCAGAAAGATTATTCTTTGTTGAAACAGTTCTATATGCCAAGGCCAACGGTGTTATAAAATTCTACACGTGTGACTTATGAGATGGTTTACGAGAAATACACCAAAAGTGTGAGAAAAATATTTTCTTTCGCGTCGTTTTTTTTTTTGTCAAATAAATTATGCATCGTGTAAAATAATATATAACGTTTTCCCAACAAATCGACACGCAACAATTAAATAGAAATAAAGACGAAAATAAAATTGCGCAACAATAATCGCGCCGCAAATCGAGAGCGTTTACGAGAGATACACAAAAAATGCGAGAAAAATATTATCTTTCGCGTCGTTTTTTTGCTAAATAATTTATGCATCGTTTAAAATAATATATAACGTTTTCCAAATAAATGACATATCCATACGCAAACAATAAAATAGAAATAAAGACGAAAAAAATTGCGCATTTTATATCATTGCGTTTAAAATAATACAACGTTTTCCAAATGAACGACATATCGATACGCAAACAATAAAATAGAAATAAAGACGAAAAAAAAAAAAAAAAAAAAAAACTGCGCAACAATCGCACCGCAAATCGAGAGCGAGGAACATCCTTTATAACGCACGCTTCCAAACTTAATCTGGCCCCGTCATCTTATAATATGTCGATAACGAGATATCGGTTTTCTGGAGCAACGGCGACTAGCTCCGAGCTCCATTCAAGTGCAAATTGCCGCAAGTTTATTCGCACGCGAAACCACGCTTTCTATCGATCGATCGGTCGAAAGGGCGCGACCGACCGACCGTTCCGACAATTCGTTCATTAGTATATATTCGAAGGGGAGAGAGAAAGGGTGGTTTATTCTTGCTCTGTGCATGATTTAAAATTTTGGGCTCACTGCGCGCACTTAGGGGAAGCGATCGGTTGCTGCGTGTAACAAGCTCGAAATCCTTCAACTTCGGGGGTGCGAATTCACGAAAGTCGCGAGGGTGGCTTTTCGCCGACATATGTCGCTCCTTTGAACTTTAAAGCGATTTATTCGTGCGGTGCTAGCCAATTATTCGAGTCACGTGCTCGGATCTGTCTCCCTGTCCGATCCTTCGAAAGCTTTTCCTTTTGATTTACGCATACAGTGTTCAGAGTGTCCAGCAGACTCGATGAAAAAATTTCCTGACTTTTTCAGATTTTCCGAGACCAGAAGTTCATTTTTTCCCTGAATTTTTAGGATTATTTTTTCCTAATATATAATTTGCATATATCTATACGATAAATCGATTAAATGATAAGTCATGAAATCCTTGAGATATTTTTGTCAAAATAAATAATCATCGTTTTCATTTATATTATATCAAATTTTTTAGTTTTGTCTCTATCAAACACATTGAAATAAAATAACACGACGATGAAAATATAAATGAACGAATCGATAACACAGAAAATTAGCGTGCTGGGAGTCAAAGAAAAAATTATATTTATTTAACAGGGTGTCCAGCAGACTTAATGAAAAAAATTCCCTGACTTTTGAGCATTATTGTTTCCAAATATATAATTTGCATGTATTTATATGATAAATCAATTAAATGTTAAATCATGAAATCCTTGAGATATTTTTGTCAACAATGAAAAGGTTCGGAAGTTAATACCAAAATTTAAATCAACGATATTTGTTTTTAATACATTTATAATATATTTTTAATATATTATAACAAATTATAATATATATATTTTAATATATTTAATGGTATCTAATATCACAACAAAACTTTTAAATAAAACATTTTTAATAAAATTAATGTATTAATTTTTAATAACGAAGGAATTAAAATAAAGCTCTTGAACAATATTATAATTCTTGAGCAATGTTATAATATATTTTGAAATATATAAGACATTGAAATAAAATAACACGACGATGAAAATATAAATGAACGAACACGCTGTAGACAAACCGATTTTTAACAACACAAAAAATTAGCGTGCTGGGAGTCAAGGAAAAGTTTATATTTATTTAATAAAAATTTCCAATTATTGAAACAAATGTAGAATAATGTAAAAAAATCCAGATAAATAGTACAATTTCCTGACTTTTCTCTGACAATTCCAGATTTATCAAATTCCCTGACCGCTAGACACCCTTAGTGTTTTACCCTAACTCGTGTGATTTACCCTTCATTATCAACTCGCTATATTTTTGCAAAAAAAAAAAAAAAATCAAGCTATGAAAGTTAATGAATAATTAATGACGCGTAATAAAAATCTCGCATTTCTAGATCGATTTCGAAATGTCATGAAAGTGAAGCCGTCGTATAGTTGAATATATTTTTTAATAGGTCACTCTCTGTATAACGGACACAGTTTCTAGCTCATCCGTGCAGGTACCATCACCTGAATATCTAGCGACATGGATCTAACGATGTCATCACTCTGCCTATGTCGAATATTTCGTTTTATTCGTCACGCGCGGCCTGATCGAACTTTCGCTGCTTTCACCGCGCGAAAAAAGCGCAACGAGCAACATACTCGTTTATAAACAAAAAAAAAGAAAAAAAAGAAAGGAAAACCACACGAGTTGTCCTACTACACTTTGTGCAAATAACATTCTAATGTGTAGGTGTTGTGCTTGAATATATGATATATACTGGTACTTTTAATTAATTAAAAGATCGAGGACGAGTAATTCGTATCACATGCAACTCTGTGACACACATTAACATTTAATATAAATGTAGCGATAATATACTTAATTAATATAAAGAGACTGATATATTTCCGTTTTAACCAGTGATATGTTTTATAAATTAGATTAATATTAATGAACTATCAATGATCTTGGTTATCCATCATATGAAGAATCGAGCGCAGTTAATTACTATTTAAATTATGTGACTATTTG